GTGTGACTCTTATCAACAATGGTTCTTTCGAAGGCATTTTTCTCGAGGACAACCAGGCCACTATCCGTATTCTTGAAAGTGGTAGATCTCCGGCCTTTCGCCATACCGACAAGACCCAACGTGTTAATCTTGCTTGGTTAGCGGAGCAATTCAGGCGGAAACACTACAAGCTTACACACGTGTCCACTGAACTTCAGGCAGCAGATATTCTGACGAAGCCTTTCACAAATGCTGAGAAGTGGCAGGGAGGGCTCAAACTCATGAATATTGCTAGCAAAATTGATGTCCCAGGTATGCCGGCTGCTGTGTCGCCACGCCTGGAGAAATCCGAGGCCAGGAATACGGGGGGTTCCCCTAATCGTATTCTGGTTGAAGTTTGCTGTTCACAAGATTCCAAGCTTGGTGATACTTCGCGCCGACCCGCTTTTGGCTGCCACGTGATTCGGATTACCCAGGACGATGATATTCTTTCTCATGCTACTCGTAAGCGTGTCGTTGACGAGGTGAAGCATATCCGCTCTATCGGCAACAAGGGCTCTATTCCTGTTTTACTATGGGCAAGTATCCCTTGCACTGGCGGAACTGCTTGGTCTCATATTAACATGAATCATGACACGGCGAAAGGGAAGGTGAAGCGACATCGATCCATTTACAAAAGAATTTGGTCTGCCTTCGTTGACCTCGTGAACTCAATGGAATTTGCCAAACCGTTGATTGCTATTGAATGGCCCAGGAGTTGCACTTATTGGGACGATAAGGCTGTTGACAAGTTCGTAATTCGAAACAACATGACTCCTGTTAAGTTTGATGGTTGTGCTGTTGGTGTCAAAACTACCGATGGGATTCCTATGAAGAAACCATGGACTGTTAAGACCAACACGCATTGCCTCCACAATTGCTTTGATGGAAGAGTGTGTTCTTGCACCGTCCAACATGCTGAAGGAAGGGGACGGAATCTCAAGAATACTGAGTCCTATACGTACATCATGACTGACTTGATTCACAAGGCTTTTGCTTGTGCAGTGTCGGTTCAAGAAAAGGTTGTCCAAACACGGATACTAGTTGCGACCATGGCTGAAGCACTGCCCGTGGAGAAGGCCTTGAAGACGGTACGCTCGGCATTCTCCGAGAGGCACTACAAAGATGTGCCGCTTGCTCGAGTTGACTACGGCTCGGACTACATCCTGCACGATGGGAAGGTGAAGGCCGAGGTCATCCCCGACGAGCTGCGCGTCGCCAACCGAGAGGCTTGGTCAGACATGTTCCGTGATGCGGCAACTCAATCATTCATCGTCAAGGACGTGAACTCCGGTGTCGACCTTGCCAAGATGAGTGAACGTACCGATGCGCTGGCTCTCGCCAAGAACGCCATGTCATCATTGACAGGTACTGCGGGAATTCTCAAAGAGGCTCCGATTGAGGCTTTCGATATCCTCTTCTGCCCGGGGAAACCCGCGGTCAACTATCTGTTTTTCGGCGACTCCTTCAATGCGTTGGTCAAAGATGGAGCAAAGACAGATGTTGGCACCATCATCAAGGAGAATAAGCGGACGCTCTTTGGGCACAAGCACGAGGTCTGGTCCGAAATGACATGGGGCAATGTCATCGTTATCTCGTGGTCCGGGAATGACGTTGTCGGTCGTAATGGTTACATCGACAACCCCGCCGCCCTAGCGGGCTGGGCCACTGATTCCGAGGCAAAGCGGAAGGCGGCGATGGACATCATCGAAAGGAACGCCCGAGCAGTGATGACTGTCCGTGATCGACTTCGCCATATTGCTTTCCGGGAAGATGTCGTCCAGGTCGTCCTCATCGTGCCGAGAGACTATGAGACGTACGGGCTGAGTGAATCTTACAAAACTCAGATGGACGGGCATGCTCGTTTGTTGCATGGTTCCGCAGGCATCACCGTCCTCGACCCCCAGACTCTCATATCCAACACGTCTCGAGCTGACCGCATTCACACCGATGACAACGAGCGGAACAGAAAGCACTACATTAGTTATTTTGTAGCTGCTGCCAAGCTCGGGTACTGCATTGGCCAAATCAACCGCTTTGAGATGGCGATGAATTGGTACCGCCTCGAAAGGGAATACATGAACATTGACACATCCATCCCGATCGTTGGCGCTACACCCCAGGAAACTGGCGGTCCGGCAATTGCAAAGAATTCGACAATGAGGTCCGTGAGAGGGAGTTGGAGGCGATCAATGAAATCGCCGCGCAAGAGCCGAAGCGCGAGATTTTCCTGGAGACTGAAAAGGAGGCAAACCCCCTCTACCCCCTTGACACCGTCAAGGAGGAAGCAAAGATCTTACAGATGATGCAACCCGACATTCACGCGGCGACCGTCAGCGGCCTCAACGATGTGATCGATTGGTCTTCTTCTTCGGATGAGGAGGATCTGATCAGCTTCGACCTGCCCCCTGGCTCTCAGCCTAAGGTCAGCCGGCCGAAAGGCCAGGCCGTTGAGGTTGCCGCAGTGGATCCGAATGACATTGGTGAGGACGGCCAAATCAAGCTCATCCTCACTTCCAAGCGGAAAAGTCATAACAAAATGACTGCAGCTCTCAGTGCTGCGACACCAAAGGTGAAATCAAAGGCAATGCCAATGCAGGCTGCCTCATCCAGCGATCAGGCGTCCGTGGCTGGGACCAGCAAGACTCAGCCCGGAGAGATCCGTGGCCCGGAGATCATCCCCAAGGCGAAGGCAGTTTCCAAAGCTGCTGGAAAGCCCGGGGAGACCCGTGGCCAGGCTGCTGAACCCAAGAGGGAGTGGATCAAATGCTCAGGAATCAAGATTCCCCAGATCCAGAACTATGGCAGAAGGATGTTCTTGAGCAAGAAGGTGTCGTATTTGGTTCGCGGACATGCCCACGAACATGCGACGCGATCCATCCCTGAGACCAATCTCAAGGACAACTCCCTCGACTACGCAGCCGTCGCCAAATGGATCCAACGTCGATATGACTGGAACTGCACCCAATACACTCTTCTTCAGGCCACGTCCACATCGAATCGGTTCGAGGTCTATGTCGAGTACGCGCCGGCCGGGCAGCAATGGAACGGGCTCAGTTTCATGCCGCTACGCATTCGCGCGTTCACCGGCCACAACGATTGGGTGACCGAGGCCAGCGGCTTTGACAATATTCCTGGAGATCCCATTGCAATGGATGTCAATTACACCATTGAGCACGCAAAGAAGGGTGTGCGACCGGGCTTCTGCAAAGATTTCTCGGACGCACGCCGAAAGGCGCTGCCCAAAATCGCCTACCACACGTGCAACATGCAGAATTTCTTTGACATCATCTACATGGGCATCTTTCCGGGCGGAATGGGAGACCGGCAAACCTCGCGTGGTCACGCCTACCTAACGGTAGTGCCTCCTTGGGACAGGCATGGCCGGAAGGCGGGGGGCGCGCGTGCTGACCGACCCATCAACATCGCCGTCGATGTGGAGATGTTGATCCAATTGGGATGTCGGCTGTACGCACCCGGAGACGGGGAAGCCCTGGTGACGGAGGATTGGATCACGAACAAGGTCCTCATTTACGCCTATGACGCTGAATGTGCAAAGTTTATCTGGTCAAACCGGATGTATGTCAGTGTCAGACGGAATTACCAGGACAGCATCAAGAAGTATCGGGAAGAGACCCAGAAGGGCGTTGTCGGCAGCCCAGTGCTGGAATCGTTCATGGCGAAGGCCGAGAAGGAGTGTAAGCTCTATTACAAACAGTGGGCCCCGACAGCGTGCCGCGACATGACGCGGCCCCACCGCATTGGCAATGTGACGAAGGTCAGGGACGTTTACGACGAGAACCTCCCGAAAGAAGAGCAGGTCGCGCTTGAATTCGAGACCGCCCGCTATGGCCTCTACAGAAACTGGGCCCGAGCTGTGAAGCAGCAGCCCGGGGAAACCCGAGGCCGGAGTGGTTTGTGGCAGGACCTGGATCCCAACAAGCAGAAGTCGACCAATTGGCGCTTCGCGGAGGTCATGCACATCCCCGACGTTGAGTGCCCGCGCTGCAAAATCCTCATCCCGGTCGGCACCATCAACTGTTTCCAGTGTGACCGTCTCATGGAGCGCATGCCCGATATCAAGAAAATAGCCAGGGTCGTCCGGTTGCAGGAGATGGCCAACAGCTTGGGCGTGCCGCTTTCAATGGACCAGGTTGAGACTCAGATCTTGACGCAGCGGAAGGATGCGCGAGGGGATCGAAGCGCAAGAGGGGCCTCGGGAAGGACATCGCCAAGAAAGCAGTTCTTCGCAACAAGGAGTACACCACGTTGTACGAGAGGCTGATCAATGACCCCTTCTACGCCTACACTGCCGCGCGGGGAGACCTGACGCCGTCCGCCCTCGAGTTTATCGAGAAGGTGGCACGATGCATTATTCCGAGTTTCGGGAGAACAAAGGAAATGATCCAAGGAAGCGTTGCTGTGCCGAAATATCACGCACGGCTAACGCTGGTGCCGCCAACAGAGGACGTGCAGGAGGTTGATCCGAAGGACGTGTATGTGGTGCATGGTGGCAGATTTCTGGAACCAGAACAATTTGCTGCATTGTATGGAAGCCTTGACAAGAGCAACCGCTACCCCGTGATGGGCTGGACCCGGGATTTCTCGTCTGTGGGAGACCCCGAAATGGTATTGGTTGAGTTGCTTTGCTTCGTCGAAGAGGAGATCCCCGGCATCGAAATCCCTGGACGAGCCACCCGCTCCCTGCAGTTGTCGGTGTGACGCGCAAGCCCATTCCGCAGCTCCGGGAGACCGGTGGCCAATGGCAAGATCGTCAATGGAGCCAGTCGTACTGGGGAAGCTGGGGCCAATCCTGGGACTCGTGGTGGTCTGATGATCAGCGCCCGTGGAAGAGCTCCCGCAATTGGGATTGGCGATGAATGAGCGATCTCTTCAACAATCTTTTCAATCTTCGGCTGACATCCATTTACATTTCGAATTCAATATTCATTATATTTCTCAATCCATGTTGGCCGAGGATCAATGTACAGTGCATGAGCACGCCCCGCGAGAGCGACGGTCAGTGGAGGCGGAAGACCTTAACTGTCGGTTGCTCGAATCCAAGTGCTTGTGTACTGCAAAAGGACTTCATGCCGATCGGGTTTCTTTGGTTGTTTCATCCCTTTCATTTGTCCTCCTGTTTCACATTCGGGCACGCGGGGTGTAGTTTGTAACGTGATGTATTTATCAACCATGTAAAACCCCAATGCATGAATGTCTCACTTGCGCAGTCTCATCATTACGACTGCGTATGGCTCAAGGAAAAAGCGCGCTGAGTACAGGGTTCATTGTTCTATAGTTTCCGACTTGAAACCAAGGTGGCTTTGGATTTAGGGCACACCCAACGAAACACCCAGGTTGACCCTTGGGTCAGTGGCTTGCTCCCATGTGAAGGGTCCCCTCTTAAAGGGTCGGGGCAAGACCTGCCCATGAAGCCGCCTAATGCTCTGGAACCGTAGGAATCCCTCTTCACAAAAGAATCAAAGGAGGAACTTTGTACGACATGAGTCCCCTTTTTCAGGGCTCACTAGGACCTCAAAACCTTCACACAGCCAAGGCACGGCAGTGCGGGGCCGATGGGCCCCACCGAGCCCCGCGGCTGTCGGAAATGCTCCCGAAGCTCCTCGCGAACTTCGGGCCGCGAGCCCCCCGAAACCCGAAACGACGAGGGGGGGAGGGGGATCCAACTCTACTCAAAAGCGCCCACAAATTGTCCTAACCCGCAGGCTTTTGAAGATTTTGTCGCATGGCAACCGTTTCAGGGCACCTGTCCAGTTGGCAGGTTAGAACCAACATGTTTTTGCCAAAATACTTAGAATGAATGGGGTTTGCTTAGTCATCGCCAGTCATGATAATAGAGCCATGTTTGAGTCTCTTTTTACCACATGCTGTTTCATGTTAGGTGAGACTGTTGGGTACATGGTTTGGGGATTGGCAAAGTAACACCCGAGTTACAAGTGTTTATTGGCGGGGGGGAGGGGAAACCGGGGGTTACTCTAACTCCCAAACCACTGAAGTATAATTCACGAACCCTCATGGGTGAGCTCAATTTAGACCCAGAGCTCGCGATTTGCCCAGATGGCCTGGCATTCATCGATGGCTTGAGCTATCAGTTGGCCCCAGGCTCAGGGGCTAACAAGCAGCACACACTACAATGAGTTCCAAATTGGAAAACTGGGAACCCCTGGCAGTAAAGCCCCTTCATCGTTGGTGATCTTGCTTTACAACCAATGCCAAGAACGGATGATGGAAATGGACCAGCCACCACGAAGTTGCGTTCACGTTGCCCTGTATGGGTGGTTCGGGGGTGGCGGGCACCTTGCTTCAAAAGAATCAACAATCATGATTCAAAGGGGCGGAGAACAGCAAAACCTTCAGGAAATGCGTTTGGCCAGCAAACAAGAAACACGTCCTGGGACGCGCCTGCAGCTGGCCCAATAAGTCGCTAGCAGGATGAAAGACCTTGAACTTAGCAGACCCACAAGTCGCCTGGAAAGGGAACCGCTAGTTTAAACTGGCTAAGGTTCACAAGCTTGCGGTTCACTGGAGCTACCAGCCTTTCACACAGCAAATAAACAGCACGCCGTACCGGAGTGTCACCAGTACAAATATTGTCACAACTTGGAAACGCCCTTGGAACGCTTCGAAAAGAAAGTCCCTAGATTTCAGAACGCCCACACATTTTAAAACTACTTGATGAAATGACGTGTGATGTCCTTTTGGTGTCCCTTCAAACCCGTCCAAACCTAGGTTTCGAAACACCTGGATGGCACTGGAAAATGATGACAATCAACTTGAAACCAGCTAGATTCAGGACACCTAGGTCTGTCTCGAAAAATGGGTGGGGATTCGGAGCTCCGAATGTGTTTTGTTCAACCCAAACATGTGCCAGTCTCCCGGTGTGTTCTGTCGCTTCCTTCTGAACATGACCTTCTTCTCAACAGGCTCCCTCTCCCGTTTGTAAACACACGCAGACAGACAAGCGGACATGCAAACGCGCAAGCACACACACACACACACACACCCCTCTTCTTTCAGTTGCTTTTCTCTAGCAGCTTCCCTCTACTTGGTGGTTTGGTGATTAGAGATGGTTTCCCACGTGCCCCCAAAAAAAGGCCAATGGTTCGAACCCAAATCCAACCCGATCCAACCCAGGCGTTGCCAACCATTCCCCCCGCCCGCAGGTGCCCTTCGGGCCTCAGTGGAGGCCAGACGCGCTGAAGCGCAGCCCAGGGAGGAAGTCAACTGGGCCAAGCCTCAGCCGGTGGCTGGGCTTCGCGGGAAAAGGTTTGGCCTCGCCCTTCGAACCCCCCGCCCCAAACAAAGCTACAAAGCAACCCCCCAAAGTTGCCCACAAAATGCGCCTAGCTGAAATCCTCCGAGGTCGGGCACATGCTCAAAGAGGAACGCAGGGCGCAACAAAACAAATACTGGCCTAAACCCCACGCTACGCTTTTGCAAATCTGTGGGTTTAAACAGAGCGTAAACTGTCAAACAAATGTTTGGGCAACCAGCCACCCTGACAACAAATCAACTAATAGAAGCTCAAACTTTTCGGCTTTTGCGCTGGGGTCAGGGTCTGTGTGGCAATGCCCGACAATAGGGGACCGCCTTGTGAAGGATGTGAAAAGCGATGCAAGAACAATCATAATAATAGTAATAAACATAGTAATAGTAATAGTAATAGTAATAGTAATAGTAATAACCATAAAAGCTTCATGTTAGCCAGCGCGACGGTTGCCCAAAGAACTCCCTGTCTCCAAAAGAGATTTGCCATGTCTACAGCCCGCGACTGCACTGGAATCCTAGTTGCCTTCTAAATGGTGGCTTTAGGGCGTAACCACAAGTCTTGGGGGCACACCCCCTTTTAAAGGGGTTTGGCCCTCCAATTCCCGCAGCAAATGGGAGCCCAAAGGCCATTGTCACAAATGCTACTTTTTCTGGCCCCAGCCAGTCGGAGCCCCGCGGCTCATTTCGGCACTTTCCGGCAGGACAGCCAAGCAGAGGCGGCGGGCACCTGCCAGCGGGTTTTGATTCCAATGGGTTCTATATAAGCATATAAGTATACATATTTTGCCACAAAGGAAAAACAGCATTAGGTGGGATTGATGTCCATCAACCACTTTTCAGGGCGCCTTCTTAAAAACGCGTAGCCGTTTGGAACCTTATACGCTACAAATGTACCAACAAGGGGTGCTTAAAAGAATGGTAGCGCATATGTGTGTCTCCACTCAAAAGGTCGTGGGCCGGGTCTAAATCTTTTCAACTGCCCTGGTGCCTTCTAGTCTAAAACTCCTATTTTCTAACAGGCCTCGAAATCAGACGTGGTGGATAAACAAAAAATCAAGAGGACACCTACCCTGATTGACGGTTCCCCAATTCCAAATTTGGCTCGCGCAATTCAAGTTAGCTGGCAGTTTGGCCCAAAAAGGAGTGAGCATGCAACACACAGCTCAAGCTTGTCAAATGCCTCTGGATGGCCGCGTTATTGTCCAAGATTTCAGGGAAACAACCGCAGATCTGACTTTGGCCCCAGCGACAAGATGCGACAAGACAGGGGGCCGCCTGAGCTTCTGATTTGGAAGGCTAAAATCTGGCAAGTGGTTCAGAAGGGTCAGAACCTATCAGAACCCCTTGGGTCGCCTTTTCTGTGGGAAGGGGGCCGCATGGGCTTGCTTTGGCAGAGGGCAGCCAGTGGCAAACCACCCTGTACGAAGATGGCCGGATACCTGCGGAAACCGAAGTGTTCCGCTGGCCTGCGGCGAGAGTCGCCACGCAGGCCAAAGTCTTGCAGACCACCACTTGGGAGCCTCACAGCGCGTGCGCCAGCAGATTCGCTGGAGAACAAGGGACATCTGGCAATTGCCGCAGCTTGCGAGGGGGTGGAAATGCATAACAATATCTGGGGAATCAAGCTTATGACTGGTTATGAAGCCCCTGCATGCCCCCACCCTCAACCACACAACAGGCCCCCCAGACCAAAGCTCTTGAGAGCTGGCATGTAGTGGGGATGCCACCCTTCAGCTTTTGACACCCAAAGAAACTCCCACAGAAAAACCTCGGGATCTCTCAAAGGTAAACTCGCCCTCGCCCTACGGCCCCGCAGCTTTGCGGAGGCAGCTGCCCAGTGTTTCAAACCCTGAGGTTACCCTTTGCATGGGTCAGGCGGTTGCATTGCGAACAAGCACTTGGGCATGGGCTCCTGCCGACCAGTTGCCCTAACAGTATGAATCAGGCCGCTTCTCCTGCAAGTCTAACCAATCACTGGGGAAATGAACATTTTCGAGATTCACATTGAAGACTTCCACTTGGAGGCGCTCCAGCCGTGAGAACCTGATGCTCAGGATTTCCCTCTCTTGGCCACCCTGAACATCACCCGGCAAAGGGAACTCAATTGGCCCAAAAGGTGATGACCAGAAGAGGAAACAAAGGAAACCCCACGGTCAAACAAAATCTCTGAAGAGACATCCTTGGAAGGCCTCCAACTCTGAACCGAAACCGGTCGAATCACGAAGGTCCTGTTGTAGCCCCCGTCGTTTTCGGAACCACTGCTATGCGGTAACGCTATGGACCCTGGATTAATCGAGCTGTTGGACTAGGAAGGGAGGTCAATTTTGAGCGCCAGTTGTGGCTCATTTTCGAACATGGGTTTATGGCTGTTTTCGGGTTGGATTTTGTTGGGTTTAGGCTTTAGGGTTGATTTACGGTTAACTTTCCCTGCCTTTCAAAACGAGCCGCAACACACGCCCAAAAACGAGGTGCTTTTAGTGACGGATTGAGCAGGCTGGTGAACTTATTATATATTGGGTGGTTATTCCTTCCAAAGAAGGATGCCGTCTTTAGGGGGGACACCTAAGCAGTTTCCCCTGGGTCAGTCAACATTACAGACTGTTAAGTCGGATGCTTAACCGTTGCAAGCAAACCAGCCACTGATCTCCAAAACTATGGCAAAAGTGTCTTCTTCCCTTTGCAGTAAAAAATGCAACTGTTCTTCCAACACCCCACCCCACCCCACCCCCACGGCCGGTTTCAGCCGCGGGGCGGTGCTCGCGTACCAGCGCCTGAAGCGCCTTACCCTGCGACAGCGACGCCAGGGTGCTGGCCACCGCGCAAACTCCTGCAGAGTTGGCCCAGCCACGACCCAAGTTTGAGGTACGGCGTGCTGTGGATGGGCGAAATCCATTGCGCACCGCTTGACATTGGGTTGATATTTGCAGGGGAATCATCATTCCAGGGATTCTTAGGTGGTGCACGATTTCAAGTACGTCCAGATACGTCCAGCCTCTGCTTCATATTTCGCCTAGCCAGTGCTAAAAGCATGGAGGATACCCCAACAGTTGAATTCAGGGTTGTGGGAGTTACACACTTACATCCCGCTAGTCATGCAGGGGTTCCCGTCACAAATGAGGTGCTTCAAGCAAACTGGCAAAGAGTTCCGTGGGCTAAGAGTGTGCTCGGCTTGCTCAGGGGTCCATTGGCACTTTATGGCTCAAGCAATGGTGTCCTTGAGGGTACCTGTTTTTTTGCCGCTTCAAGAAACCCGACAAATCACCATGTTAAGGGTCCCCCCCCCAAAAAAAAAACACGCCCGTACAGTTTGCCTATAGTGCCAGGATTTGATGAAATGTGGTTAACGAAATCGTCGTGTCCCGTGTTGTTGTCAGGCCTTGTGGCAAAAAAGCGACCTAAACAAGCGCTCCCCTCATGTAGAAATGAAGTTTTGCTGTCATACATTGCGCTATACGGGATGTGGAACTCAGCCAAGGAGTGGGTCGTACTATGCACGAAGCCCCCAAGCCAACAACCAACACTGTGCTTGATCTGCAACCCACTAGTGGCCCACCAGAGCAAGGAGGATTGCAACACACCACTTCCAAATGAACCTACAGTGGTACCATTCCTGCTTGAGTTGGGGAATGATCCGGTTAGGGGATCCCTGGAGTTTACACAGCCTTCTCCATAAATCCAAAACAAACGTCAGGGACAAACCTGGCCCAGGCCAGAACCCCTTCCTCCGTCAAGTTCCAGTCGTCGCGTGAACCTGCGAGCCAGGCTATCGGTGCGTCAAAAAAACGGGGGGGGGGGGGGGACCGCTTCCTTTTGGCTTCCCTTTGCCAAAAAAAACTAAATAATAATAATAATAAAAAAAAAATAATTAAAAAAAAACACTCCATATAAAGCGTGCCTGCCCGGACCTCGCCAGACATCATTAGATATGTGTTGGGCAAGGCCACTGCGGTATGTTGCTTCTCGATGTGTCGGCTGCGAACAGCAGATGGCAAACAAAATGCCCCGGATGTCCAGATGGAGGCTGCAGGGAACCCATTCTGAGGTCCCGATCGCCCATTGCATCAAGCTACGTGGGCATGTGCAGAATCCTGTTGCCATAACGTTGGTAACCTGACTACTCAAGTTGGTGGCTGGTGTGTTTTGCTGCTATCATACGTTAACCTGGAATGTTAAAAACCTGCTGGGGATCCTTGATTCTACTTCGTAACCTGTAGTTGGACACCACTGCAGCACGGGAAACCACCACCTGGCAAAAGGATCCGATTGATGTTGCAACAAGTTGACATCTTGCAAGCTGACAGGCCAGACTGAGGCAAATCAATGTGACAGCTGCCTGGAAACCAAGCGTATGGATGAATCCAAGTCAAGCGATTCCGGTTGCATGTGGTTGCCTTTTAAGGCCGGTTCTTGGTCGCGTCCGCGCTTGCGTCTAATTTCCCACTGGCCCCGAGTGCGCATACCTTTCAACAGCATGCGGTATGGGTTGTGCAGGGGCCATCAGAAAGAAGAAACGCTCGTGAACACCCTTCACTTGCGCCACCGAACCAGCTCATCATCCGTGGTACATCTTGGAGTCACCGCGGGGAACCCTTCCTAAAGGAAATTTGATTCTTCCCCAAGCCTAGGCTTGTTCACTGTTGATGTCCGTAGGAAGTCAAACATGTATCAACAAAAACTTAAACAACCTCGTCGAGGCTGGTCGTATGTTGTTGGCTCGTCAATGGTGGAAACTCGGGTCTTATTGCGCTTGTGTGCATTTCATGGTGTGCACTTATTTCACATGTGGGACTACGTGTTCGGCTGGCCAAAAAAACAATTTTCCGACAAAAAATGGGACCCAAGTCTAAAACATCACCCGCGTTTTGGAGACTAATGGCGCCACTCCGTTTCCTTCGGCACGTTTAAAACCCCTGGTCGGTTTGTTCCATCTACAGGGCTCCCGATGTTTCCCCTTTAAACATCACCCCAGAAGGAAACTCACTTTGAACTGGCCCAACATGGGATGATGCTTTTTTGTTCTCAACATGTTGGGCCCTACCAAACATGTGTTCCTTTAAAACTACCACAGGGAAATGCGGGGAGATCTGATCATCTTCGCCGTGGTCCTTCGCTCTGCCTTCGCTCCCCCGCGCGCCTCTTCGCGTGGCCGTAGGGAAGGCTCGCCAAGGTCCGAAGCGAAGGAAGCTCGAGGTGAGACTGGGGGCAAGATCGAACGAAATTGTCACTTCGGGGGTTGATCAATACTCCTGGCCCCAAAATGACCATGGGTAACTGTTCCCCTTTTAGTGGTGAATTGTTCCTGTTTTATGTTTTCCCTAATTAATGGTCACCCCATGCTCATCGGGCCTTCTGATCAACCGAAACCCATTGCCCAAAGGACCCGGAAATACACAGTTCACGCTTTTGCGCTGTCAGTTGGCCCAAAATAACGTGGGCCAACTGGTAACGACTGGCACAGGGGTTCAACTATTTTCTCCCTGGAAAAAAACATCACCCCTCAGGAAAACTCACCGACATGGCTCAGAACGGTGATGTTTACACCTCTCACTGGCTGAGTGGATTGGCCCAAAAAATGTTAAAGCTTCACATTTACCACCGTGGTCTTCCCCCAAAGTGGCGAATCAGTCCAGGAACTCCAGGAGTGCAGCCAAGTCTAGGTCCTCCAGTAGGTTAGAATTAAGGGTACCCTGTTTTCCGTAGTCTATTTTAGTAGGGGAACCCTCCCCCAAAAAAGAAACGGTAAAAGGGCACTACTGGTGGACCTAGACAGTCGCCGGTCATGCCGAGTGGCGTCTCTGGCGCCGAGCAGCGCCAGCAGCACCCAGGCGTCCAGCGCCGCGTAGGCCAGCTGCTGAGCGCTCAAGGGCCGCAGGTCCCACCTCGACCGCTGCTGGGACTTCTCCAAGCGCAGGCCCAGCACCGAAGCGCAGAGACCGTCCTCGGGTCGCTCGGGTCGCTCGGGTCGGTTACAGGGGCTCCTGGAAAAGCAAAAAGGGCCTTTGGCGCAAAGGGTTCTTGTGATTTTCATTTGTCGTGTTTGTTCCAGGGCTTGGCTTGCCACCAAGCAAGATGAACACAGTCATGAAGTCGACTTTGTATATCCGTAGGTTTTATAGAGCTCCTGCAGATTGATATGGAATTCGCAAAACACAATTGGGGGGCCCACCGCTTAGAATCTTGGGCCCTATGTTTATTCGGGTCTGGCTGGGGCTGATACATCAAGGCGTTAAGTAAAATCAAAGTAACACGGCGGCAGCCCTCTACGTGCTAAATTGCTTAGAAGCCATCAGCAAACACCTCACACCAGCAAGTAGAAGTCTAGCCTGAGTTTTGTCCCAAAAAATGCGGTGCCTGGCTTGCCTGGCTGCTTTTGTACGAGGCAAACGAGGCAAGTCAATGCCAAGATTGCGCAAGCAAACCAAATCAAGGGATCGCCTGCGAAATCATGAGAAGAAAGGCTTCCAGCCTTGTCAGCTTTGACATTCGAAGCGGAAACTTTTCCATGTGCAAAGATGGCGCGGCTCTATGAGCTCTCAAGCATCAACATTCATTGAAGCCCCTCAAACAGACACGGAGCTGACATTCAAAACTCCATAGGCGAAGGCACACTAAATTGCGTATCGAGGTAGAACTAAGGTTGCAATTGGCCCTTGCTAGTGAGGCAATACACTAGAATAATCTCTTCCCCCAATTAATGAATGACCCCAATTAATAATAAATGCAAATCCGGGGCCCGGGACCAGATTTCCACTCCACACAATTGATTTTCCATTGCGCCAATACTAAACCAATACTAACGTCTTGGAATCCTTATTAGGGGGCACTTTTGGCAAGCTTCCAGCCTCACTTTTCAACAGGTGGGTTCCTCAATTCCCCAAAAGGTTGCTTTCCCAAAAGCTGGCTTCTCAAAAGGTTGGGTTCTTTTGGTGGGTTCCCAAAAAGGTTGTTCTTGACTCTGTTGTCCCTGGCTGTCCCTGACTCCCTGCGACTGTCTCTCTCCCGTACATGCTGGCTAATTAACCTGCCTGGCTGCAAACAAACAACCAGTAAACTGGTAAACAAAGAATTAGAATGATACATCAAATTTCCTTATTGAACCAAATCCTACGTGAACCCTCACATTGTTGGAAAAGCAAAAAAAACCAACCCCAAAAACCCCAATTAAACAAAATATATATTTTTGGGGGGATTTATTTATAATAGGGGGGGGGGGGCGTATTTATTAATAGGGGGAAGAGATTACACCGAGTTACCCAAAATGGCCATGGGTGACAAGACCATAGAAGCAAAAACCCGTCCCGCTTTTGGTTTTGATGGCAAGCCCATCCCACGAGGAAACGGGAACAACGGCGTGCCACTTGACCCAGGACAATTGATGACATATGAGTTTCAACGCTGCCGGCCTACAAAAACCGTAAGCTGCACCAACGCTACTTGTCAACCAAGCTGACCTAGGGCACGTTTTGGGCGACCGGGGTATGAATTGTGCGAATCAAGATGCTTGAGGGATTTATGGAACAACAAGCGCTTTGACGGAAGACTCGATTTGGGCTCTTGATCAACACCTTATACTAGTGAATAGTTCATGGGAATGAAGCGTTGTTAAGCCCGTGCTTGATTAGGAGGGGGGGCGTTTTAGAGGGATCGTGTCTTAAAGGGTTTTGGAGGCAAACCAAACGGCAAATCACAATTTTTGGACGCATTCCAACCCCAAAAAAAGGCACGCCCATTTACGGGATTCACGCCACCATTTACGCACGACCCAGAAATACAAGGCGATTAAAACTGGGTCAAAAATCTAGGGGACACTTCCCCATTATTTCCAGGGATCCTTCTTTTCAGGAAACCATCAAAAACCCGAGATAACCAGCTGGTTTTTGAAAAATAATTGGGAACCAACCCTTAGAGAAAAGGCAAAATCATCCAAGGTCTTTTGGTCCATGGGCATGAGGTGGGGACATGCGCATCGAGGCGCCAAAGAGGCGCTGGTCCCCGACATCTCAACCGCTTCGATGGTGGACCGCCAGGCGCCCGACATCAGCCAGGGGTAGGAATCCTGGGGCCGTGACTTTTGTCCATGCAGCCAAGCACCTGTCTGATAATAATGCCGGTATGGCCAAAAACCTATTGCTTTGTCAAATAACATACCTCCCTTATAATAATAATGTTTGGAAATACCTTTTTTTTCTTTGACTTTGTTGAGGAACATACCTGTGTGATGATACTACGGGTCGAAAAACAGAAATTGAGTTTTCCAACTTTGGGGCGACTGGTCACTGTTTTAGTGTCTGGCATAAACATCCCAAAATCGAAAACTCAAGCTGGAGGGGTATGGTTGGAAATCCCCAAGGTTGCCAACCAAGCCGAGTGCTTTCCAGCATCTCTCTCTCTGTATTTTCCTACTTGTGGGCAAAACTAGCCACTGCGATTCCTATTGCCCATCTCCTTCGGTCTTGGGTTGGTTGGACATTGGGGAATTCCCTGCTTTTGGCGATGTCCCCAGCACATAACTTGTTCAGGCACGGAACGTGCAAAGGCAACACTAGCACCCCCCGGCCTTTGGCGCTACCGCTCCAGGCACTTGTGGTCAGGGCTTGGGGGCCGCATGACTTCAAGGACAACATCTTCTTCAAATGCGTTCTATGATTTACCTTCGTCATGAGCGATCACAGTTTACCAGGTGGGCTCACTATGACTGGGGCGAAACATGTGATCCTTGAGGCGTGGTCCGTGCAAAGACTTCCATTGAGAATCCAGGGCGCGGAGAATTAAGCGCCCGGGCGCGGTGGAACTATCCTGTTCAAACATGTTCAACCCCCTATGGGTATGTTTAAAAATTGGGGGGAACTCCCCCCCAAAAAATGGTAGGTCTCCCTTTTGGCCCCCTGTGGACCAAGGTGAACGGGGCAGACTCAGAAATGCACGACGCCGTGTCGTCGAGGCGCCGCCAATTGCCGCAGATCGCCCTCGAGGTTGAAGCCAACCAAAATGCAGCTGGGACTGCCTGAGCGGAGCAGCTACATGTCAAATTCCAACCGGCACCGCCCCCCCCCCCCCCTCACCAGGCCCCCCAACTGCTGCTTTGTTTGGGCACATGGGATTTTTGACAAGCGAAGAAGCATTTGGTGGGGGGGGGGGCTGGAAAAAACACAATTACAAAATGCCCAGAGATGTGCAGGAGAAACGCTTGTTTGGCCTTCCCTTGAAAGCTCCTTATTCTGCCCACCTCCAGTGGCCATGGAGAAAAACACGCACTCGCGTTGAGTACTTTGCAGGGCCCTCCACGGAACACACCGGAAGTCTGCGACTCATGTCAGGACCTACATATAAACAATCTATGTCGAAATTTAGATGTTATAGTGCCGCACAGCCTGTTTCAAATGATTTAGCCCTAACCCTACATAGAGACCAATGTTTGCCAAGCGACACAAGATTTCCAGCAGCTGCACTAGCTTCAGCTCAGCATCTGCCACCAGCGCTGGCATATCCAGCCTCAAGGTAAAGATTGGTAGCAAAATGTTTGGACGGTGGCCCCATATTTGAACCACGAAAACGGAGGTCTCCAATTCCATGCCTGCAGAGAAAGACCATCCAAGATGTCCCAGGTCTTCTTGGGGAAAAAGGTAGATCTGTTGAAAGTGCGCTGGCCCGAACCTATCTAGTCATCCTAGCTGCCAATGAGACTTCGTGCAGGGTCAAAAGTGTCCACCGGCCTGTCAACTGGCTAGATCAACTCACTCCGAACGACCTAGAAATAAAAGGTTAACCTTATGGATCCTTTGGTAAAAGTGAACCAAAAGGGGAAAACCAAAAGGCAAAAAGCAACTAAAGCAAACGCTACCTCAACCATGGCCCAGCTTGGCCAAACTAAGGTACACCTCATGAGCCTACAAAAAGGACAAGGCTGGCGAAGGTTCTTGTGAAACAAGCCTTCCAGGGCAAACAAATAGAATGTGTTTCATTCAAGTCTCGTGTCTTGATAGCATGTCCGACAAACCGCTGGCACCATTCGTTTGTGCTGAACATGTATTCAGTGTGCCGGGCCAAAAGGAAGGCCTGACAACACTGCCGAAAATGGCTCACAAATAAGAGTTTCATTTGTCCGCCTTCGTGACCATCACAAAGGCAGCAGCGTGGGAGTTTGTAGATCTGCCAAAAGCTAGCCAGGCCTCCGATTCTTCCAAACTGGTCAATTCAAGCTTCTGTGGCCACGAAATCTTGGCCCGGCTTGCCGTTGGCAGGCAGAACAAATATGCCAACATTGCAACTGCGACATTCTGCTCATATGATACCTTGAAGTGGTATAAACTCTGCAAGCTGAGTTGCAGCACAGCCCATTGAAATCGGCTCATTGGGGCTCCAGGGAACGCACTGAGCAACACCAATTGGCAAATAACTCAGAGAGACCCAGAGACACAGAGACACGGAGACAGAGACACGGAGATACAAAGACACAGAGAGGAGACACGGAGCTACAGAGACACCGAGACTCGGAGACACGGAGACGTAGAGACACGGGACACAGATACAGAGACACCGAGACACGGAGACGCAGAGACACAGAGATATAGAGACACAAAGAAACAGACACGCAAAGACACTGAGATATACGCACAAGCATATGTACATGAACACGCTCAAGCGCGCTCGCCGAACATGAGCATATGTTCTTGCTCCCCTGGTGGCACTTGGCTTTAGGACTCGTAGGACTCGTAGGGACTCGTGGGGCTCCAGTCTGACCTTTCCAGGGTGCAGGCATGTGCCTTTTTTAGATGGACCCCTGTCGTCTCACACGGACGTGAGGCTAGAGCCAGGCTGTGCCAGGCAACAGGTAGACCACCTCTGCCCACGCAAGCTGCAACAGCCTGAGCACACCCATGCGGGCCACGCAATCCATGCCCAGAGACAGGTCCCAATGACAAAGCCAGAGTGCCAGGTCCTAGGCAAATGTCTGCTGTAAACAACCCCCCTTTTGGTGGGAATCTCCTCTGGTTTAGGGACCCACGTTGATCGACCTATTATCTACTGAAACAGTCACTCCGCCAACTACTAGCCATAGCCACTTGTTTGAAAACCAAAGCATATTCAGCAAATGGATATGTTTCAACATCACGCCGTCCAACCGAACCCTGTTTCAAAATCGCAACCCAACGAATGATCTTCCTGGCTAAAAAAGTTGCTCTTCCCCCACCTCTGGCCCTCCGTTGCTTAGAGCGTCGCTAGAAATACCAATCATGACGGCTCTCTTCGAAGGCACAAGCTACAATAAGAAGCAAACCAAACGCAACCGAAAGCGCATTGCGCCCAGCAACTCTTGGATGCAACCACTCCCCGCTGCAAAAGCTAACCTGTTCCTGCAAACCTTTCAGTCTAACCATGCAAAGAATACGCCAACCCCATCCCCCGTCTCAGTTGGCCCGCATGGGACTCATAAATAAAAGGTGATCAGCTTTTGAGGCCGTGACTCATCCAAAGGGACACCAACAGGTCATTTCTTGTCGATTCGCCTTGCAACTGAAGTTCTTGTCTTGGTTGCTGTTGACCCCCCCGCAAAAAGTTTACTTTTTGGGGGTTTAGTGAAAAACCCCTGGATTTCCCAAAAAAGTTAAAGTCTCTAAAGATCCAACCCAGTAAAAGTCAAGTTGTTTCCCTTTCAATCAAACATGGGATTCTTCCGGCTCAGCGGCTGCACCGGGCTTCCGCCTCTGTCGCTGCCGCGACCTTCCCAGGGTTTCCACTCCGCATCCATTCCCACCACGCTTTCGCCGGCTTCCGCGAGGTGTTGCAGCAAGGCATCCAGGCCACAGCCATCGGAGATCAGCGAGACCTCCACCTGTGCATCTGGGATTGACATGTGGGTGTGTCCGTTTTTGGGACAGCCCGAACATGGATTTCGGTTCTCCTTTTGGGTTCCATGTATTGGTTGGTTTCATCTGGGAAACAAGAGGAGAGGGTAAGCTCCCTGGCTCAAACACAACTTGCCCCTTTTGAAAGGCCCTTTTGTGGGAACGGTTTCCTTCAGGTTTGTAACACCCCAGAAAGGCCGGGCCTACTGCCTTCGGGTTCCCCGCCTCTATGTTCTTGCTTTCTCACTTACCCTCCCTTGAAACATGGAAGCTGACAGGAGGGTGAAGATTCAAAATCCTCTTGAGGAAACTCCACTTCCATGCTTGGAAAACGTACTCCAATAGATTGACATCCCCTTCCCTTCGTGCCTCCGCTGGCAGGCGGATCTCCGGCAACTCTTCCGGCGATTCGTGCACGGCCACACGCGGCGCGGATCCGTCGCCGCGCCGTGCCTCGATCTTCCGAGCCAACTTCAGCTGGCCATGGGAGACCAAAATGTCCTGAGAGGAGATGGGTGCCAATGAGTCTGGATGAAGAATGGTATGTTGCTGTTCTTTTCCTTTTTTGGTTGGGGGGGGAATTCTGGGTAACAACGGGCCTAACCCTGGGTGAAAGAGCATTGTTGGGAGGGGCAGCGTGAGTATAAATTGGTCTCACCCTGGGTGAAAGGAACATGTATGTATTATGCGCTTTTGCTTGGCTTCCTTTGGAGGATCCAGCCCCTGCCACTCGCATTGGGCCTTGCAGCACTCCAAACTCCAAACGAGCCCCTCAAAATGCCATACGCTGGGGCATGGAAGGGTCTGGTTGCGGGAAAATTTCAACCATCTTCTCTTCGAAAGGTGGGTAAAGTGACCATGGGGAATCAAAGCCGGCTATTTGCCCAGCCCTTACTTCTATTTGCTGAAGTGCCCTGGAAAACAAAACGCGTAGTTTCAGTGCAGGGGAAATAGCAAATGGAAGCTTAGGAGCTACTATGAGCTACTAGCCACACTGAAAGGACAGGGGGGTTTGAAAGTATGATTTTCCGCAGATTCCTGGCCTTCAACCCAAGTCGGACTGGCTTCTGGATGCCTTGTGTATAGAGAGGCAACTCACACCGTGCGCAAGGCCTGGCACAAGTTGCCCACACAGAAGGGCCTGAAGACTTCACGTCTTGTGAAGGGGGCCTGAGATGTTTCATGAGGGTGGCTGTGCACAGATGCTGGAAAGCATCACCTTCGGGTGGCCAAAGGACATGGACAAAGGCGCATGCATGGGCTGTGGAACGACGCAATTGGGCACCGCAGCCATGGCACAGGCGGGCCTCATCACATCGCACCTGTGTAAAGCTGCAAGCAAGCCTTGCAGAAGAGCAACGCAAGCAAGTCACCATGACACAACGCAACATGGCGGCCCTGAATTTCATTCTGAATGGGCAATGTCGACCCCGACTTTTTTTCCGTGCAATTCCAAAGCATTGCAGGGAATCCAACTATGGCTGGACAAAATTCTGCACAACCTAGAATGGATGAAACCCTAGGAACACAGGGGGGAAACCACTTTGCGACATGGATTTCCATCCACATCGCCGTTCCACGGGGAATTCTTGAACCAAACACGTCAACCACTCTCCGCCGCGGATCTGTGAGCTCCATGGTGTGCTCCGGGCTGTGCTGGCACCTAGGTGCGGGGAAGGCTTCAGCTCGCTTTGCTCGTAACATGCGCTGCTCTTCGTAGATATCTGAAATCATTCACTCGGCTGCCTTGGATGGGGCCCAAAAAAAGGTGATCAGTGATCACCTTCTGGGGCCACTAAAAAAGTCGTTCCGCGAGGCATGCTCCCCGGAATGATCAAATGATCCACTCGTGTGACTGCTCAATGGAACGCCGAAGGGGATGTTTGACCCAGTTCGATGGGATCAACCCGTTGTTTGTCCATGGGCGCGAAAACCCCACCATTTGTGCTTCGGTTGTTCATTGGCTCCATCAGAAATCACGCCATGACATGGGAGAAAGCCATATGATAAATTTCCAGAGGGGGATCTGTGACTTATTTTTTTGTAGGCCATCTTTTCGACACCAGCTCCAGGCTGGCCGATGGATGGCCACCCTTGTCACTTGCTCTGGCCCCTGAAATGTACTTCCTGAAAATGCATCAATAGAGGAATTTTACAAACCAGATCAATCAACTTATTTAGCCAACCTTTTGATGGTGGAACCCACTAGCTGGCTGAGCAACATAAGGAAAACCACTCGTGAGTCTCTGCTCGCGTCCTTGGCAAGCTCAAAGAAAGTCGTTTACTTGGGTGTCCCAACGCAGGCAACTCCATGACATGCTACGTCCCTTTGCCTTCTCCCTGAGCCCAACCAGAGAGCGTCTGGTCATGTCGGACCAACCAAGAGGAACTCAGGCAAACAGGCCCCCCGACCATTCTGAAACACGCCCCAAGGCTTCGTTCCATGTCCATTCTCTTTGCCCATGCTTCTGTTCCGAAAGCGCCCGTTTCCTCAAGCTTCGGTCCACTCACTAGCTACGGTGGATGCCCCCAAATATTGCAAGTAAACCAACCACACTCAACCACCAAAGCCATGGCAAATTACGGTACACTAAGGGGTTCCTTGTTCCCCTATGTTGGGCACGCGCCGTTGAACTATGCTATTCCTCTTCGGGGGCACTGACTGAACCTGGGCCAAAATGGGACAAGTACAAAGTCACGCCTTGGGCAAGTCAGCCTCAAAATTGGGGTCGCGGTTGTCCTTTCGCTTTCCCTTCAAACCAGCCCCAAAAAGAGGGCAGCCTCAAAACACAAACGCGCACGCGCACACACATAGACAGACACACATGCACATTTTCCAACTCAAAGAGTTTCGTTCCACTAGGGCAAAGATGGGTGTGGGTCAAAAAAAGGAGCCCAACATGGAACCCTGGAAGATGGAAACAAAGGCTGAAACCAGCGGTCCCTCGGTTTGATGTTGATACCCAAATCTTCGCGGCTCCCTCCGTGCCCCGGAACAGCAGGTCCAGCACAGCGAAGTCCGCGGGGGGCAGCGCCAACTTCTGGAGAATCGCCGTGGACAGCTCCGAGCCGACCGGCAGAGTGAGCGAAGAGCCTGGGCTCTCGAGGCTCGAGGCGCGAGGCGGGGGGTGGGACATTGGGAAGGCCTCAAAGCTGAGGGCTCAGCGAACATGGGCAAGCATTGCCCATCCGAGTTGAAAACCAATTGTGCACGAATTGTGCGCTGCAAACTAGATATCGTGCAGCTCTGGACACTTAACAAGCTGAGATCTCTGTGCAAAATGATGGGAAGTAGGCTATTTTGTTTAAGGTAAAATTGGCAAAATGCGAGTTTCAGATTCTGGCTTAGATTTAGCCCAGCCTGAAATAGAACTGAGGAAACCGCAGAAAGCCCCTGCACGCTGAGAGGCAAAATTAATATTAAGCCAAGAAGGTTTACTTGGAATTAAGTTGTAGGGGTTGGCTGCGCTTAAGGTGCAAGACATGTTAAGCCTTGTAGGTTTTTCTTAAATCGTGACCCTCTCTGCTGGCCCCAATTGTCTAGAGCAGCCTGGTGTGCAACTGACGACAAGACAGATCCTGGCACCGATCCTCAGTCTGAGGCCTCAGAAACCCGCAACATGCTCAGCGACCCCGATAGAAAACCCAGCGGGAAGCCACCAAGCGAGGGCGGGGCCCGTGGCACAATGGAAGAGCGCCCGTTTCGGGCGTTCCGACTCGGGAGGTCGTGGGTTCAGCGTAATTCGTTTCAACTGCCACGTTCCTTCCCAAACATCCTAGTCTCATCTTAACTCTGACCCTGCGCTTTGGAGGCGGTTCCGATTGCAGCATACCTCAAAACATGATCCACACCCATGTCCGCGCCAATGCGACTACTGCGGCAATTGAAAGGGGGTGCCCTTGTTATCACAGAATGAGGAAAGACAAAACACACAACTGTCTCCAACCATTTGGGAGCATTGCAATCGCACGAATGTTAAGAACTGCACTCCAAGAAACCAACCTTCGTCGCAAACCAAAACCCAGTGTGAGGTCGCTGTTGTTTGCCACAACCACGGCATCGCACGGCACACCCCGACCTCCCAACCCCCGCCGTCCAAAAGGGGCCCTGCAAAGTAATCATAGAACAACAAGGGATGCCATTAAACAAAACAACTCTTCAAACAAAAGTGATCACAAGGGGCACCATTAATACAAGCAAGATTGAACAAACATCACTCCATTCACAAAAAGCACAACGAAATCACGCAAACCCTTCCCCCTTACTTGAACAAACCATCAGGGACCCACATCATAGAACGCAGCTACATGCAGAGCAGAAACAAGTAGGACTACCCCAAGTGAAATTCCTGTGAGACATGAAATCCTGTAAGCAACAAAGCTTACGTTAGTTGGCAAAAAGTTAAAGTCCTAAAATCCCTTGGCAAAAGGTTTTAGTCTTTGTTTCCATTTGCCAGGGTTCCATTTTGGGTACCTATTGTTGACCCACAGCCATGTGAGAGTTTCTCGGGTGGTGCCTAAGAGGACTTCGTCCACCCAATGGCCACTGTCCTTCTTCGCGCGAGGCGCAGGCGGCCAAGTACTCCACCAGCCCCGCCAGGCGCGAGCGGTCGCTGGCAAGGGCCGCCTCGAAGAGCGAAGCCGCGGAAGCCGTGTCCACCGAGTCCCAGGAGAACCTGAGGGAGGAGCAAAGGAATCCCTAGCAAGTGGTCCAGTTCATCAGAGTCGGCGGGGGGGGTGGCGGGGGTGGGGGTGGTCCAGTTCATCGGAGTTGTTGGGGGGGTGGTCCGGTTCATGGGCGTCCTTTGGGAAGTGGAGGGTGGTAAATGATTAGAATCAACCTGCGACCAGTGCCATACATGTTCAGCCAAGCTGACCTGAAAATGCCACCTATGACCTGGTTGGACCTAGCCCTGAGCAACAAGGTCGATGACCTTAGGCTCACTTCCTATCGAGTGGGCATTGCAAACCAGAGTGCGCATTGTTTGCTTGCCGCTAAAATGGTCTGTACAAAAAGTAACTAAAGTCCGAACATTCACGGAGAGAGTGGGTGGGCTTACTGGAAAAACCATTTATATCATTTAGTCTCCAAAAGGCCGAACCCCAAAGACCTATAGAGGGTTTCCACCATCGAGCAAAAGCTGTCTTCCAAACAGGGGGTCTTGGAAAATTGAAGGGGTGGGAAAACAAACAACAAAAACAGGGCGCCTTGCCCCGGGCTGGGACTTGCAGCCATAAGCACCTGGAAATCGAAGCTGGGTGCTAAGCCCCCCCCATTACGAACTCCGTAAATGAACTGGTGCAGGGTGGTGCTATTTTGCATGCTGCGAATATTGCTGGGAGGGAAGAGAGTGCACTCGCTAAATTATCCACGTGCAGTCGACTGTGGCTCATTTGTTTTTCAGAGCAGCTGGGGGTTTAAAACCCCATCAGCTGGAGCGACAAGAAATGGCAGATCTACATCAGTGGGTCAGTCCCAACCACATAGATGCGGATATCCTCACCTTTGCGGCAAACTTTGGGTAGACGGGGTAGGCCCTGTGTATGCCGAGCTTTCGTTGTGTCTCAGGTGGCTCCGAACAACGGCACGTAGTCTCGCTGATTCTGCTTCATACAGTCTTTTCCGGGCTCACATCGAACCAAGCGCATTGGCCAATTAGGGTTTGGGGTGGGAAACCCACTGCTTCGGAGACTACTTACGTTTCCCTGGACATGTCTGGCTTGTTTGCTACTTCCAAAGATTGGTTTTGAAGGGCCGATCTTTGTCTTCTTCGTGACACCAAAGAAATGCCACCTGGAACCAATGACCAGCGGATCCGCTGGTTTTCGCAGCTTCACCGCGGGATAGTCGCCTTAAATAGTGCAAGTACACCAACCACACTCTCCGTTAAGTGCGGTAAATGAGGGTCCCTTGTTCCCTTGCTTGCAAAATTTAGGGCATCGGCCAGTCATAGCGGGCCTGGTTATAAAAAACGAAAGGGGTAGTCTGTCGCGTCCTTGAGGTCTATTGTTTGCAAAACATGAAACCCGGGACAAAGGTTCCCCAAAAGGAGCGTGCCTCAAACACCGGGTTTGTTGGGTGCCAGGTGAAATTTCCGGGGAGGAGTGACCTTTTGAGGTCACCAACAAATTGCGCAAACCGGGCAAACCAAACGTCGGAATCTGACATGGCCTCCCCAACTCTCGGAACCCTAGTGTCCAAATGGGATTTAAAAATGCACGCGTAATAAAGAGAAATGGGGTGCCCAAAAAGATTAATAAATGCACCTGGAATAAAGACAAGCACCGCCACCCGCGCCAACCCCCCCCCCAAAAAAAAAAGAATAAGGAAAAGAAAGAGAGAAAGGAGAGGAGAGATAGCCAAGCCAACACCTGGTCCTTGGATCTTTGATACCTTGTTCCTTAAATCCCAAATTGTCAGCTTTACCAAACCCATGTTTTCTTACATGTCTCTTGTTTAAAACCTGCCCGCAATCAAACCCAGGGGGTAGTACTTCAGCCCCCAACTTGACATTATTTCAGGGGCCCCCGAAATAAAGTCTTGTTGCCTGCCCCCTGAAAAATACAACCTGCCCAGTGCAATTGCCTCTTAGGCAGTCAAGTAATTAGACAGCCTAGGTGAGGCTGGCAATGCTTCATGCTGTGTTGTTAGATTTGGGCCTGCTCCTCAAATCCCAAGTTGTCAGCTTTATCAAGCCCATGTTTTCTTACATGTTCTCTTGTTGAAAACCTGCCCACAATCAAACCCACAAAAAAGGTAGTACTTCAGCCCCCAACTTGACATTGCTTCAGGGGGGCCCGAAATAAAGTCTTGTTGCCTGGCCCCCCCAAGAAAAACAAAAGGAAGCTCCAGCAATACTACATCAAATGGAAACTCAAGTCTACCAGTACTGAATCAAATGCGAACTCAGTTCCAAATTTCAAAAGGAAGCTCCAGCAATACTAAATCAAATGGAAACTCAGTTCCAAATCTCAAAGGGAAGCTCCAGCAATACTAAATCAAATGGAAACTCAAGTCTACCAATACTAAATCAAATGGAAGCTCACTTCACCTGAATCTCAAGATGCCATTCTAGATACCCCCATCGTTGGGGGGGCGGTCCCGCTTGAACAATCCCAATTGGACATTAACTCAACTCCAGAGCGAATCTGTGCCTGTCGACCCCATCGCTTGTCGTTCAGCGAGGGGCTGGAAGCGAAACGCGAACTTCACCGCGAGGCGAAGGCAAACGCCGCCCGCCTTACCGGGGACAGAGGGGGAGGGGGGAGGGTGGTGCTGCGCAGGAAATCCTGCACCAGCTGGAATGCGTGGAAGGAAGTTCTGGGACAAACCACCTGACAACTGCGCAAGTTAACCTCTTGCAAATACCCAGAAGGATAGCACACTTTCCTCTGTGGCACTGCACCGGACGGGCCTAACCCGAGCTTCCAGGCAACCGAGGGGTTGGTCAGCAACACGCGATTCGCTGCCCACTCCAAATTGGGACGGATGGTTGCCCCCTTTAGCACAACCACAGGCAACCAACCAGCCCACGAACCAACTCAGCCAGCCAGCCCCCCAGCCATCGAAGCCACCAGCCAACTAACCCCCCTGCCAATCCTTCCAACCAAACAAACACATAAACCGCACACTGCGACTTCTTTGGCCCGACCCAACTTCTCCAATGGATATGCGTCGAGCTGCGATGCCGAGGTCCAGGATGCGGCGCGCCGCGCACGGCTGCGCCTGGACAGCCGCGAATCCGTACGGTTCGTCGGTGAAAAAGCAGAGCCTGTTGACAAGTTTGGCATGCCAAGAGGAAAGTAGGTGTGGTTTTTGGGCTCAATGAAGGTTTTGTTAGTACATACATCTCAAAAGGGATCCCCGCCATCCATGTGATGGAAAAAGATCGATCCCAGTAACTCTGCAGCTTCCCCCCTGCAGATCAACATGGAACCCAAAACGCATGACTCCTACCACAATTGGCAGTGGAAGCTCCATTCAGGGGACCCGCAACAATAGGGTTCCGTGCTGCTTCTTCTTGGGGGGTTCGCACCAACCCACCCCTTACCACCCAACCAACCCACCCATCCATCCAACCCATACCACCCACCCAACCCACACACACCCACACCCATCCACCCAACCAATCGCAGCCCTGGAGAAAACAACACCCTCACCCCATCGCCTCGAAGGTAAGAGAGCAGTCCCTGACCGCCAAACCCACCTCCGAGGGCTTCACCAGCAGCTCCAGCAGGAAGTGGCCTAAGTGTGCACCCCCCCCCCACCCCCACACCCCCCCCCTCCCGTTTTTGAGGTCAGCCACACTGAACATAGCAAAAAAACACCTGGTAAAATATGGCGGTCTTACTTCAAACTTACGCGGCAGATCCCAGAATCACCGAAGGGATTTGGCAAACCGGAAGCCACAAAAGCAGAAGGAACCCCATATGTTTGTGTATATTGCCCGAAATTGCAGGGGACGCTTGCATAGCAGAAGGAACCCCCCGCTTTGCAAGCATGTGTGAGGTTTGCGTGTGCTTCCTGGAAGAAGGCTCGAAACATATGTTCACTGTTTCAACACAAGCCTGAAAAGCCTCTGACTGGCCCAACTGGATTGAACCGCAAATCTGCAGACCTGTGAATGGCTGGGTCTGGAGAACTCTAGGGGTTCCTTCCCCATTCTTTCAAGGGATCCGTATTTCTAGAAAACGTCCGGAAACCAAGGAAAACGATGGTTGAAGAATGGGGAATCAATGAATCAAGCCCCTATAAAAATGGACACCTGATCCATCCCCCGTGGTTGCCTTGAGGGAAATGGACAAACACAGGAGTTAGTTCGCAGCCGGCCCGCCAATAGAAATTTGTTCCCGACGTGAATGTGGAACAATTGCGTAGCGCATGGTTCCTTAACAAATTGGCAACCCCCCCCCCAAAAAAAAAAAACGAACCCAAGCGCGTTTACACCCCCAAAGCAACAAACAACCAGAGATACATATCCTTGTCACTTGTTGGGGCTCCATGTCAACTTGCCACCCCCCAAACAAAAAACACTTCCCAAAATGCTTAGCTTGCCCAACGGACGCACGAAAGAGTAGGGCACCTCGGGCAACTTCCTCACGGAGGTGTTCAAAGGGAGGCCACTTGCCAACCTACAGTGCTGGATCGGAAGCAACCCCAAACTCTTTGTAACAAAATTTGTTTTATCAAAAGGTTTGAAGGCCAAGAGCCCAGGGAACGAGTTGCGGGAGAAATTAAAAGAAAAAACAAATCGAGCATGCTGACCCTTGGTGAGTTTGTGGGGCCCCCAGTTTCGCCTCGAGTCCAAAAATCCGCCAGGGGGCTATCGCTGGGGTGGCTCACCTCCACCAGCTGCTGCAAGGCCTCCGACACGAGGCGGCACACCGAGCCCGGCGTGGCGGCCTCGGAGCCCAGCGTCGGGCCGAAACTTCCGTGGAAGTTTTCCATTTGCTTAGGACCCCTGGCAAAAATAAAAATCAATATATATATATAGATATATATATATAAATCCAGTGGTCCAAGTAGTGATAGATTCCCATTAAAACCAACAAGGGAAAATAACAAATATTCTCAACCAAATGGAAGGAGCGGTTCTTGGATAGGATTCGGGAGTGCGCAGGCTGTGTGGCAACAGCTGAACGATAGGCTGCGGAGTGGCTTGGGACGGCTCTGGGCGAGGGTTCTGGAAAGGTTGCGGAAAGTGCTGTTGGGTTTCCGGCAAAATGGCACTCTCCTTCAAATTCCAGTGGAAGTCCATTAAATTGCAAGTTGGAGCACATCATATCAAGACCCAAAGAGAGACACAAGTGGTCGGAAAGTATATCCGACCCCGATTTAAGTGTGGAAAACCTCGAAATTGCGGCATCCCTCTATCCCCGACTTGCCAACATGATTCTAGGCCCCTTTCTGTAAGACATCCATCGGCTAGATGCTGAAACAAGTTTGTCTTCCCTGTGATTGGTGGTTTGAATTTCGCGCGCGGTTCCGGGTAGTACACGCGATGGGATCGACTCAAGCTCTGTGTCGCAAGGTGGCAACCGTTTTCCTCCTTAATTGTTTGTTGTTTTGAATCCACCAAACCTCCAATCCACATCTGCTCACTTTGTCACTTTGTTTAAGGGTCTCAACCATTTGCCACGCACGATCGTTTGGGTCGAAGACCAAAAGTGCAGACTGTGGCAAAGTTGAGGGGCTGGTTGTGTAAACTTGTTGGTGTGTAAGACAATTGACTTACCAAGGGTTCCTCCTAGTGATAAGTCATAAGCGCACATGGTTGCGGAAGTCGTGGGTGTTTCACTTTGCACTCCGCAACGTTGAGCCGCCCAATCCTGGTTCGTATTTTGGCGCCAGGCTCCATGGATGGGAGGGCCGCCTCTAGGAACAAACCACAGCAAGGAACCCGCGCACAGGGCAACCTCCGCGCCTCGCTCTCCTGAACCGCGCCATGCAGAAGCCGCTTCCGCTGGATCCGTGACCCGTCGCCCTTGCCTATGGAAGCGGAGAGTCGCAAGTGAAAACTGGGAGGTCGGCAGGGGAGAATTACTAGGGCCTGCCCACGAGCATGTCGCCCTTCACAAGCAAACATGGAAGCTGGTACGGAAACCAGCCCCTCCTGCCACCAACAAGCATGGAAGTGCAAAGGCCCCAAGTTCGCGCATGATGGCTGAAGGGTAAAGAGTTAAAAGGTGGTCGAAAGATTTCCAAGCAGCCCCTCAAAAACCAACAAAACGGACACATACAAAGCACTGGTAGACGATTGGAACTAGAGCCTAGTGGTGGCCCAGGCTGACTCAAAGAGACACCTGCAAGGGGAACCTCAAATTAATGGTTTCTCGGTTTCCCCTGTTAAATTCTGTAAACTTAACTGCAACAGGGAACCCAAGAAACACTTCTACACCCATACAGAGGGGTTGCGGGAACCTCAAAATCACCTGCTGGGTCATTTGTAGGGGTGTTTGGCTGTGTATTTGTTTGAGGCTACCCATTTGGGTTGCTTCCAAAGGGAAACAACAAGAAACCCTCCAATCTTGCGGCCCTGGGACTACCATGTCCTCACAGAACTGTTAGATCCGAAACGCCCCCGCCCCAGCCCCCGTCCGATGGCTCCGCCAAGCTCCGCCGGGCTGCGTGCAGCGCTCTTGGCGGCGAGCACGTAGCTGGTGAGGTGCTGGGCCGTGAGATCTTCGCTGAGGCGCTGCGGCACTGCGATGTGAACTCCTCGGGGCAGAGGCGCGGAGCTGTTGAGGGTGCCCTGGTGTTTGGGTGGGTTTAAAGGGAAAACAAAGGGAGAAGCACCATTTTTGGGGTTGCCCTAAAGAAAAGACACACACCCTTTCCCCCTGAGCAGAAGGTCGTTAGACCTCTTGTAGGTGTGATCAATTGCGTTGTTTCGGTTTTTGGGTTGAAGTTTTCTATCAACCAGCGAAAAGGGAAATCAGCTTGTTGTTGGTGGGTGGCCGGTCTCCGGTAGACATTGATGTAGCTGGTGTTTTATGATCTTTCTCCTGAGCAAAGGGTCTACAGTAACCTTGCTGGTTCAATGAAGGACCACTTGCTTCCAAAGGTCTAAGGGGCGATTTGGTGACATTAAAGACCAGCCACGACAAGGGGGATCCCTCAAACCCACGTTCTCCAACTCCAAAAGTGGACAACCTCCTTAGGTGACAGGTCTCGCTTTTTGCCACCAAAGGCATGAGGAAATTTGGAAAACCAAAATTGGTCAGATCCCGTTGCTTCGTTTTGGACGGAGACGAGGTACACCCGTCGCTCGTTTCACGAAAGGCAAGTGGCCCGCATCCGCAAGGGAGGGCGCCGGTTGGCGCGCCGTGTCCGCCAGGCGCTCCGAGTACTTCCGGCGCTGGTTGGACCACTTGCTGGGGGCGTCCGGTGCACTGGGCTCATGCTCCGCGGTGCTCTTCATGCCCTGCGGGCGGTTTGAGCCCGCTGCCCCTGCAGAGCAGGAACCACAACAGCTTAACAAACAACAGGATTCCTTAAACAATGCGTCCAACAGCCACTTTACTTGCTTCACTCTAAGTCAATCAACTGGTAAAAGTGGCTCCTTGACTGGCCCAAATGTGTCCGTGGCCATTTGGACCATGTCTAAACCCCCGCACGCAGTTGTTGTCTAAAAGCCCTAGAAAGGGCCCGCGAGTGGGTTGCTCAGCTGCAAGGGGCCCAAAAGGTAGAAGCTGAATTGGAACCATTCTTCTGTGAACCCGTGCCCCAGGCGGACTTAGACAGTGCCCCTGAAACAGCCATCCACCCCAACCACAGACATGCGAAAAATCGGGGGCCTCTCTTCATGGAATGGGAAGGAGCCATGCGAAGCACTGCAACCAAAGGCCCGAAAGGTAGGACCAAAAAGGACCCAACAATGGCACCCATGGAACTTCACAGGATCCTAGAAGGCCATGTTCTCTTAGAGGAGAACCTCTGGTGGGTTCCAGGAGGCAAACGGACACAGTCTTTGGAGTTTTTTCTTAACACACAAATTGCTGTTTGGGACCAGGACCATTGTAAGTGGGAAGGAACCCACTTTGTGGGTCATTAACCCCAACCCAGCCCCAACCCTCCATTCCCGCCTGCGGCTGCCCGGTCATGAGCGATGTGGGGTCCCACACAGGTGGAAGCACAAAGCCTCTTGAGTGCTCCACCCAAAGCCCGTCGGTCGAGGGCATCAGCTCGCAAAGCAAGAGGGCTGACTGGACTTTGCCTCAGAGAAAACCATGGTCGCCAACAAATACCGTTTCTGTGATACCAAAACGGGTCATTTCTCGTACATGTCTCTAATCTAGGGAATGACAGATAGTGGACTTAGTCGCCTCGTTAGCAGCTCTGGCTCTCACCCATGTCTACAGGACAGTTTGATAGGAATTGAACAGAATCCCAGTCGGAAATCTCTTTTGAAGTGGTTGATCCCACAGTGTGCCACTAAACAAGTGAAGGAGGGAAATCAGAACCAATGGTTTTGTTTGGGCTAGGAATGGCTTGACTATGACTCAGCTGGCCTGAATCAAATGTTTTTGCAGATGTTGCGGGCATGAGGGGCTCACTCCCACGACTTGCGATGCCAGGGAACTCCGGAGGTAGTGCCGAATCGGACGATTCCCACTCTGACAAGAAGCCAAAACAGCAGGTTGAAGGGGGGGAAGGGTTTGAAGGGGGGAAGGGGGGAGGTTGTGGCTGGTTGTCGAAGTTGTAACCTCAAACCGCAGGTTGAAGGGGGGACCTTGACACCAGCTCTCTCGGGCAATCCCATCATCCAACCCTTTCTCCTCTTTTGGTGTGGTACCTCCATTGCCCACTGAAAACAAAAACTCAAAGTCAGATATTGGCCTGCGTGGCCTTTGCTGCTTTAAGGGTCTCCCTCCTTTTTTGCACCACTAAATGCAAACCCAACAAATAAGGGTTTCTTACTATTTCCAATTACGCCCAATGATCTCTCCTGCCTCTTCTCCCCCAACCCCCCCCCAACAAAAAAAAAAAAACAACTCAACTAGTAATTAAACCACTCCAATCAATTGGCACCCACTACCTCCAACCTTCCGTTGAACCCACAATTGCCTCTAATTGCCACCGCGCTTGCCCTCCAATTCGCCTAGTAAATTTGCGGATGATTGGCTAGGTCCTCCAGTAGTACCCCTTTTGTTTTGTCTTGTTTTTCCTTCTTTCTTTTTTTTCGGTAGTCTGTTTTAGTAGGGAAACCCTCCCCCGAAAAGAAAAAAGGGGCACTACTGGGGGACCCCACGCTTGCCCTCCAATGGCTGAAGAATATTGTGCATTTTACTGAGAATATGTGTTATTTTTTGCAGGGGGCTGAAGCAAGTGGAATGACTTGGAGACGGCTGGAGGCAGTTGAGGCGCCGAAGTGTTCCTCCACATCTTGCCGCACTTTGTCCGGCCAGTCCGTAGCCACCGCCTCCTGCTGCCTCAGCCGACGGCCAGATTCCGGCAGACCCTATCAGTCCACCCGGTTCAGTGTCAGGTTGAAGTTCTAGTTTTCGAAGTTCGAAGGGAAACGGAGGAACCACTTGCGTTTGGGCAAGCCACTTTGCGGGAAGGCCTCTTTGGGACTCCCATTTGCAACCAGGCCAAGGGATCAGCTCTGGAGTTTGGATCTCAGATGATTTAGTTGTGCAGTGGCACGTCCCTCTCTCTCTCTTCATGTTGCCCACCAAAAAACGAGCCCCCAATGAAGTAAATGGCAGGCTTCAAACGTAAAGGTGGCCAAGTGGCATCTGAGCAGAGTTGTTTTTGTTGTATATTTTGGGGGGGTACATGAACAGGGGAACTCCGCGGAAGCCTACGCGAGCCTCGCGAGCTGCATGTCTACAGGCTTTAGCCTACGCGAAGGCCTTTCCTACGCAAAAAAGCCTACGTGGCCCACGCGGGCTGCGCAGGCACACTATCCAAGCCTACGCGGCTCCGGGCGATACCAAAAAAAGCTCTGCTCATCTGAGTGGTTCAATTTTCGAAGGCCCGTGGTTTCACTTTGGTGTCCCAGCGCTGCAAGGGGTCTAAAGCAACACGGCCACAGCCCGCAGTCGAGTCGCCCTGGCAGGTCCTCCCCCAAAATCACCGGGGGGTCGCCTCGCGCCACCGCCGGGCCCAGCCAGAAAAGCTTCGGCAAGACCTGGGCGAAGGGGCGGGAGATGGCGGGAGCCTATGGGTTTGGCTTTACCACCGTTAAAGTCGCCCAAGGGGAAGGTTAAAGAGACACACCCCACTTTCTGACTTCCACAACCCCCAGAAACCGTCCAAAAAAAAAGGCTGGTAAGTAGATCAAATCTTATTTGGATATTCAATCAGACCAGCAAGCAGGTTTCAACCGTACAGGGTTGTAACAAATATTGCTCTGAGGCGCCGCCGAAGAAGCCGCTGTTTGGAGAGAGCGCGCCAAAAGGACCGGAAGTTTGATACACCATGGATATAGCTGGGGTGACCGGGCTACACGGTTACACCCCTTGTAAGCACGGCTGCAACCCACCAAGCGGGCTTCACGCTGAAGTGGGTCAACATGACCATCAAACACGCAAAGAACACGACAATACCAGAACAACAACACGAAAGCACCAAGCACGCCTTTTGACTCTTCATTGAAGCAGCAGCCCAAAAAGAGCTGTTTCTTGATTGGCCAAATGTATCCCTTCATCAGCTTCCCCCTAATTGGTGGTCTGGATTGGTGGTTTGGTGGTTAGGGGTGGCTTCCCATTCAAGAATCCTCAAATCCAAATCCAAGCCACCAACCCAAACCACCAACCAAGAAGGTGAACCTCGTTAACTTGCTGGTGCTCAGCAGGGAATGAGGGAATGAACCTGGGTATCCCCTTAAAGCAAACCACAGGAAATTGGTTCTGGCGGTTTTTCACTCATTCCCTGCCCATCGCACCAGCACGTTTAAAGGGCCCATTGCGCCCGGGAAACCGCCAGGCGGGCACCAGGTGTTAGATTCAGCGCCGCTGAGATGTCGGTGGTGTACCACCCCGTGGAGCCTTATCGCGCGAAGGCGTTCCCGGTTCAGAAACGATTCCCCTGTAAATGCCAACGAACGTTGTGGTTTCAACCAGGGTGCGAAGTGGATTTCGCAACCATCCACCGTACATCTCCCAAGCATCGCCCAGATCCCAAGAAAAACTCAGCTTTGGGCCAAAACGGTGAGGCGAAAACGTTCTCAAACCAAAGGGGAAGTTTTGGGAATCCAGTAGGCCCAGGAACAGGAAGAGAGGTCACCCCTGTATGTGTCTAGAAACATTCTGATAGATGCATTTGCGACCGATGACCTATGGGTTGATCCCATTTCAGCCCTCATGTTCTTCAGAAACCATCCATTTTATGAGGGCTCAAAAGCCCATTTCCTCAGCCGAAAAATGAATGAGGGTGCGAGCCCATGGACATTACCCAGATCCGGTCCCGCTTTTTGGGTCAGATCCAACACATTTTGGCATCTCCATGTGAGCGAACTTTTGAGACGAGCTGAAAGCAAGATGAAACTGAGCCACAACTCCATTGTTTAATATGTGTGGCTGCTGAGCGCTCTCAAATATCAACTCACACCGCCGCACAAACACATAGCAAACACAGCTGCCGCTATTATTCCAAGCTACTACCCAACTCGCTGGTTAAGGAAAAATCCTAAGTGAGGCACTAAGGGTCTCCTTCTCTCCATGAGCCAGGCGGCACTCAGGGTTCACCTCCTTTGGTGGTGATCTCAACTTCCGAAACCTCCGGAACTCCTCCAGGGGCTTGAAAATGTAACCTCGGCCGGTTTTCTTTTTTGAAGGGTGGGTTGGGTGGGGTGGATGAGAGTGTGGGCCCGGGGCAGATCGGAAAGGTCACAGCTTGCAGAGTCATAAGGCAGAGCCTTTTTTGTACCCCTCCGAATATGAGGGTCTTTTGGAGGAGCTTACAAAACTGAATGGGTGGTACATACAATCAAGGTGTGGGGGCAAGACCCGGGTACGACTCTTGAAAACACGCACCCAATTGCTTGTTGCTTAAGACATCCCAAAACTCAGCACCCTCCAAAAAGGACAGCCCTTGGCTTTCTTTTTGTCGCTTCAACTGACCCAAAGATGTGTTTGGCCCAAACACTCTTGGACCAGGTTCGGTTCCATGTACGCCCGCCAAGGTTCATTTCACCGATCCATCAGCCGCGATCCGATTTCCGGCTCCGAGTTTGGGTCCCGCGCCCTTGAGGAAGTACACGGAGCGCAGCTGCACCTGCCCGAGCTCCCGCCGCAAGAAGTCCTGCACCTCAGTTTGGGGGGGTTTGGGGGGGGAGGGGGGAATAGACTCCAACCTGTCCATGTCATTGGGGGGGGGTTGTGGGGGAGGGAAGGTTCCCCCTTCAAGAGACACCCAATCTCAAGTGGGTGTTTCTCAACATGAGATTCAGTGCCCTAAGCTGGCAATGGTCTCCTGCTGGTTTCCCAAATGAAATGCCAACCAAAATGGGGTCAGAAGCCATTTGGAGAAGCCTCCACAGGGATCAATAGGACTCACCCTCAGCTATTGGGCAAGGGGTGTAAGTTTGGTGGTGGTTTAGGGCTGGTTTAGGCTGACCAAGTTGGTCAGGGTTGGTTCAGGGTGGGCTTAGGGCTAAGATGGCTAAGCATTAACAGAAAAAGAAGCCCCTTCTCAGCACCGTTCTAAGATATGACGGTACTGTGGGTGCGTGTTCGAGCCCGATGCTGTACCAGTTTGCAAGCGCAATCCCTTTGCGCCCAAAGCAATCAATGATGTTGCAGGGTCACCTGTCAAGCTCTGTGCCCAAATGTCTCGCATGGCGAGGATCGACATGTTCCATTGGCTTTTACTCTGCTTCAGGCAGCAGTCTCTGCACCCCACACCGGATGCCAGAACAGGCCAATGAACCAATGAACCAATGAACTAAGAGGGCCCTCTTGGGTCTTTCTTTTGCGGGGCCCAAAATGGCCCAAAGAACACCCGGAGGGTGGCATCGACTGAAATAGTCCAAGGTGCCGAGAGGCTCTCGGTGCAGGTGACCTTCCGTCGGGCCTCCGCCAGGCGCCAGGCCAAGTTCTCGTGGAGGAAGGGGCCCACATAGGAGCCTCGGGGTCTCAACACGGCGCAAAATGCGGCAAAATGGGCCCCAAGCCATCGTCTGAGCCGCTTCAAGCCGCAAAATTGGGGTAGACAAAACAAAAACAACGTCCGCTTTCGGCGGTTTTTGTGGCGTTCGGGTGGGAGGGAGGACCCGAAACAGATAAACAAAGTCCATGAAACTCGGCATCACCCTCGAGTTATGTCAACTAATCAATGCGTCACTGCTTTTGGGCATAAAACTCATGCTTGAATTAGAGCCAAAACGGGCTACACCGACAAACACGATTTACAATGAGCAGTCTCTATACACATAGTGGATAGGGAGTAAGTGCAGTTTCTTGCCCAACGATCACCATTGGGACCTTTACTCAAAGTGGGCCATGGAAAAAGAAGCAAAAGGTCAGATCCAGTCGGTTCGCTTTGGGTAAGTGATGCTGGAATCTGCGGGCTTTCACGCAGCCTTCTCGCCCCCTTTTCTCCAACCCTCCCCTACCCTCGGTCAGAACCCTCCCAGTCAAGTCCGCACAGCTTGGACAAGAGGCTCCTGCAAGGAAAGGATCTGTCGAAACACACTTGAAGTGCAAACAAGCCCCAGCAAAGCCCGTTCATTGCCAAAGCTTCAAGAAGCAAGTTCACCCCGACCCAAAGGAAACACCCAGAAACGGAACCCCCGAGCTCCCGTCGGGGCCAGATTAATTAAACATGCATTCCCGGATCGACTTAAACCCCTTGCCTCCTTGGGTATGGGCATCCCGCTTTGGAAAATGGGCAACGCGATTTGAAACATGATTAGCCTGCTGAAATGTGGCTTGCATCGTCCGCGCTCACACAATGTGTCAACCAAATGATGAAGGAACCTACCACCCAAAGTTTCTGGTTGGCCAACTCAACAGCAAGTCTACCCTGCGCGACCCTGCCCCAAACCCAATCTTTGACCTCAATGACCGCCATTTCACCCTTTCCCGAAGCAACCATCAACACCCCCAAAACCCCCACCAAGGCCCAAGCCCCCCCCGACATTTCACCTTTTTCTCCACACAAAGGACTCAAAAATCAAACAAACGCCCACCCCCCTCCCTCCCCCCCCAAACCCAAAGCCCTCCTTTCGGGGCGCTGGTGCCCAGGTCCGGCGCTTCCTCAGAGCTGGCGTCCGCGAAGAACTTCACGGAGCTCTCCACGTGCAGCGCCTCCCTCGGGCGCCTCACGGAACCCCGATGCGCGGAAGTCAGGTCGACACAATCACACGTTTGGTTTGACCTTCATACATGTTTTTTTAACGTGCGTGTTGGGGATGAAAGTGACCAGGGCGTGTTTCCTGAGCGGCCAGAGTGCGATTTCTTTTTTGCTCATTGTTTTCCACTACCCTCCCAACCACTGGGACCCAGGGGGAAACGAGGTTTGCACGCCTTGCATAGTGGCTATGCAGCTGCTGTAAACCGAAGAGGTTTTGAAGGTGGTGGACAGTGTGTGTGTGTGTGTGTGTGTCTTTTTCAAAGGTTTATTTGCTGGGGGAGGACGTCATATTTGGAGAGTTTGCTCCCACGGATTCGGCGGAAATCGGAGGACCCACCCTCTGCGAAGTGCCCTTGTTATCCTTGTTGGGGTCGCATTCGTGTTCTCGGCCTGGTTGGTAGGGAAACCTCCCCTCATGAAACATCCAAGGGGCATCTCCGGGTGTGGCTCCTGCTTGTGGAGTTGGGCACGGGCCCTTAAACAAACCCACACGGTGCGCAGCCGGGGTGCTGTAAAAAGCGGGGGGGAGGGGGGTGGCAGCAAGCAGCTGCCTTTTCCAAACTTGGCAGCCAAGATCAGCCACGGTTGCAAGTTGGAAAAGAATGACATGTTTCGACAAAACGGGCGTGGGACGGTGTGGGTGCCCTCCAGCGGATCTCTCATGATTAGATGTGCCCTTCAAAACTTGAAAGCTCTAAATGTCGTTCGTCAAAAGCTGCAATTTACATTTGGTGTAGGTCCCGAAAAAGGGACCTTGAGAGACCCTGGTTTCATGTTTGGGGCGTCCCTAGTCTGTCCGGGCTGCAGGCACACCAGCTTCAGCTGCCCAGCAGTGATCCTGACAGTTGGCCCCTTGGCCCTGGAGAGCCCAGGCATTCTGTTCGAAGGCAGTGGGGCCAAGGTAATCCATCTATCTTCATTTCTCCATGTGCCAACCTGGCCTTCAAGGACATGCCCCACTTCGGCCAGAGGCTAGTCGAAAAACAGCGCGGCCCCGTCAAAATGAACATCCGTCCGGGACTCGTTTCTCACCAGCTTTCTATGGATCTCCATAAGCTCGAGGTGCATCCCCCCCATTTCCCCTCTCCAAGTTCGCACAGACGTCCAAATAACCCCAATGGCCCAAGCCCAGATCCATTCGCCTGGACCGGCCAGAGCTCAGCGGCACCGCGCTCAAGGAGCGGCGGGTGTCCCAAGAAGGCCCGTTTTCCAGCCAAAATTGGGTCAGCGCCGCCGCGTAGAAGCCTGGCCCACTCTCCCTATAGGAAAGCCTCTCGAACATCGCGAGAGAAACTGCCAGAGATTCTCTCTTTGGTTTGACCTTGGTAACCGGCAACGCTTGCTTGTTGGGGATGGCCTTCGGAATACAATATAGGGGTTCACACCCGAGGGCTTCAATACGTGACAGGGGGCAGTTATAGGGTATCGTTCTTGTTCTTTCGCAAGCAGGGCGCCCCACAAAGCCACAAAATTGAAGCGACCCGAAACTTAGTGGGTCGTTGACCTATAGCTAACAAAGTTAATCTTTCGGTGGGACATGCCATAAACCACCCCACACTCTACAAGTGGAAGGGCATGGCTGGAAACCACTCAAAGAAGGTCTGCTGCTATCACCCAACCCCTGAAGCAACACCTAGCCGGCCCCGAGGGCGCTCACAAGTCGGCAAGGGAATTTGTGCTAAAGCGTTCTTAGAGTATCCAGGGAATCAATTGGGTGCTCCATAAGCAACGCAAGCGCGAGTTTGTGTCCCGTGCAACGCTGTCTGCTTTAGCAGCAGGGACTCTTAAGTTGCAAAGCACAGCTCTGCTGATCGCCCGCGCGCAGAATGCGCTCAGTAACCCAGCCTCACTGTGAGCTCCTCCAATTCAGTCAGTACTGACTGGTCTAAGGATGGCAGAGCTTGCAAAGCCGCGCCCATGCATTCATCAGAGTTTGTGTGTTTCTCTGCGTGTTTGGTCATGGACTCCTCTCTGTTGAGGTCTTCTGCTTTGGCAGCCTCTGCAATCATCTGCATCTCGCTGCGGGAGACCAGTCCTCCAAAGAGGAAGTCGTACAGGCCTGTGACTTGCTGGTCAAAGCTTGCAGATGATTCTGTGAGAAGCTCGTATCGGACATGGTACAAGCCATCCTTGTCCTCAAAGAGTATTGCCATATCATACATGAAAGGATACATCTCTGGCCAAAGCGTCATCATGCCCTCCCGGGGTCCCATGAACAAGATCTCCGGGAAATGACTCCAAGCTCGTTGGGGTTCTTGTCCCCGATGGTGATAGCAGTATGCAGAGGCAAGCATGTGCTTCGGGTTGCGCACAACGTGTGCGCCGCGGGCATTGCCCCGTGCCCTCGCCAACTCAAAGCTGGCCTCTGAAGCCGCGATTTCCCACATGATGTGGCAATCGGGGACCTCTGGGCAGTAATGCCTGAATCCCGCCGAAGTTACGCTCTCTGTTATTGACCCGTTCGTGTAGCAACTGTAGCTTGCACCCAGCCCGTCAAATGCGTGGCGCATGATGTTCCTCAGTAGGTGGGAGCCTGCTTTGTGATGCACGCCAGCCCAATAAACATGATCATCCCAAGGTCTTGACCTGCGAAGCCTTGTCTGTGTCTGCACAAAGCTCACCTCGCACTCATCTGAGGCCATAACACTGGTGCAGATTGCCAGTAGCACATTGTGCCACAGTGACGCCATTGCAAAGTTACATAGGGTTCGGTCAAGGCTGTAGCTACAAGGCTGCAGTGTGACACACCGATCCGCGACGTGGCTATCAAGACTTGAAGAACTACCCTCCCACCAACAAACCACGGCACTGACTGGGGGCAACCTCCACATGGTTGAAGAAAACCATGGGAAGCCCCCATGGGGCGAAGAAAAACCTGCTTAGCAAGTGGCAAAGCAATAGGAACACCATGGAAAGCCGAGGGCGCCAGGCTTTCGATTGCACGGCACGCCCAAGAGCTCGCCTGCCTAGGCGCCGCACGCCGGACTGAGCGCCCAAGGCCGACAGCAACTCCTGCGGGTCCTGGTCCAAGGAGACCAGCCAGTCCTGGCGGAGTCTTACATCACACTGTGCCAAATTGCCTTCCTTGCTTCCTTGCTTCCTTGCTTCCTCTTTTTCTGCCTGCGCCTTCCTTCCCTCTCTCCACGCCAAGCTATGCAGACATATATAGCCGGCGCCAGCAAGTCTTACGTCTAGCAACCTGAGGCAAACACAACGGCAAGCCAGTCAAACCGATTGACATAGTCAATCGGTGGCGATATCAACTGCTCAGGGAAAAAAAAAAAACGGTTGCCTGCAATCACTGGCGAACAATGGATGGTCAGATTTTGCCTCTTAACACCAAGAAACGGTACTGGTATTTTGGGGTGGCCTGTCAAACCCGGAAGGCACCGGGGTAGAAATAGGGGGCGCTGTGCTGAACAACTGTTGGTCAATGTTCAACCCTGCACCCAACTTCCAAATATGCTCTTCCACCTTCAGTTTAGTCAAGGGCAAAGATGGTGCAAATGCAGGCGTTAACCCAAAAGCGGAGTTCTTCAAATAATTTTCCTGGCACAAAGACCTCGATGCGCAGAACGAGGATCATGAATGGGATTTGGCCATGCCTCAACTTGCCACCGGAGAAGCTATGGTCTTTGCGTCGCAAGCCAGAACTCTACAGAATTTAGGCTTGGCACCTGAGCATAATTTGCCCCAGTGACGCCATGCGGCTGCACCCTCAGGCGCCTGTGTCGCCCTCTCAGCTGCAGCGTCTGGCAAGGCCAGCAGCTGCATGCCGGCCTGACACCATGGAATCCCCGCACATGAAGCGGGTGGGACCCCAACCAGCCTTCGTGGAAGGAACGTGGCACCCTAGATCAGCGCCCTTCCAATGCAACATGCTTGGGGGTGGAGAGTGGTTGTCATATTTTCTGGCGCTAAGATTGCTTCAGGAAAGGTCTGCCTGGATGTTAAAATAAACAAAGTGGAATCCAAACGTGCCTGTCAGGGGGCGGGCGCCACTGCACCAACGTGGAACCGTTCAACCCTAACGACTGGACACTAAACCAAAACCCCCTTCACACGGACATGTCAGTGCTTGACAATCTATATATGACCCATGCCGCAGGAGGGTCCAAAAATACAAGCGTGCATCTTGCATTCATGTTCAGCTTGCCTCTTGTGGATGGACACAATCCGTTTCGCACCACCGCTCAGAGACCCTGGCTTCTGATGATTCCCCAACATAGTCTCAACCATTGTTTCAACGTGGTGCGAAGTGGATTTCGTCCATCCACAGCATGTTCTGTTGTTGATATAAATATAAATAAAATGTACAACCAACCGAAAAGGGGTTCCCCTAACAAAAGCACACACACACACCCATATGTTGAGCGACCGCTCTTTGGCTCCAAGCCGCATGCTCCGAGAGCACGGGTGGCGCTTGGATCAGCCACGCCAAATCCCGTACCACCTCAGTAGCCCGTCAATTTGGCCGCAGGCCGTTACTTTCCCTCTGGCGTCGTCTTGCTTTCTTTTTTTTAGTGGGGCCAAGGGGAAAGTAGCTACCTGTTGTTCTTCTTTTTTTTGGGGGGGAGCGTTGTTGAAGAGAAAGCCAAACGGATCCACTGTTTGGGCTTTGTTTCCTTGGGAGGTGCCGCTTCTTTTGAATTCAACATCTGAAGCTAGGCACCTTGGACTGCAAGCCAGAGGTAGTCTCCATGCCGCGCCATGCACGCTGCCCGCTTGCTGCAACGGGACGAATGCGACTTTGCTGTGTCGCTGAAGGCTTGACTCAGTGGGAGTTGGTTCAGTCGCGCTAAGTGAAGGTACTGGTCGAGGATCTCATTTTTTCTCACAAATCCTCAATTCACCAAACTCCGGACAGCGTGCGGCTTGTAATCTGGGGCTATCCTGTGCAGATCGCTGATGCGGCCAAGATCTGTGTTTTGCGGCAGGTGTCATGGATCAAAATCGGGCTTGAGCCTGGCTTGCACCCAAAAGAGCCTACAGAGTTGTGCGACGTAGGGGTGGCTACCCCTTTTTGTGTTACTAAGCAACTTTTCTCTTGAAGAAAAAACTGAAAAGGGCTGCCTACCAGTGGGATTTGCAGCCAGTCTCCGTGCTTGAACCTGGGTTAGTTCACCGCAAACGCCTGGCGAGGACGAAGTCCTCAAGCTTGCCCATGGTGTTGTGGCCGCCTTAGTTGCGACATGACCGCGCCCAATTTGGAGATCCCTGAGACCCGCCGTCCTGTAGACTGGTTTCCGGAAACCTCCACATCGCGCGACTAGTCAGAAAAGGAATCCTGCCTGCGGGGTTCCCGCAAGGCACACAGGCGGTCGGTGCTGTCTATGCAGAAACGCCGCGAGACGCCGAGCGGTTTGCAGGTTTCAAGCTTGAGCTGCCACAGGTTGCACATACCATGTTACAACAATGCTACCAAGTTTGAGGTACCACGTTACCCTGTTACCATTTTGGTCAGAGATCCTGCTATGTTACAATGCTCCATTGCTTGGGCATGTGTCAACACAAGAGACCCATTGCTGACTCATGCGGGACAGTTGGGCACAAGGCAATGTGAGCCTAGGCGCTAGGCAATGGACAAAACTACAATGACTTTCAACAAGGATGTTTTGCGTCCGATGCTGTGCACCTTGACTGAGGGGCTTTCCATCTCAATCGCTAGGTGACCGTGTAGCCAAGAAGGGGCCCATTTACCTGCACTCATTAACATTTCAGCAGCGAGTGCATCTGGGCCTCTGAGCACTGAGTCACGACCTTTAGGGATGCTGCAGCCCTGGGCAAGACTCAATGAGAATCTTGTCAAAGTGTCCGCTACTTATTTGAGATTCATTAGGCCCCCATTTGGTCAATTTCGCTAAGCACCGGGGATTGTAACTGCCAGCAATGCTCAAGGTTTGGATTGGGACCAATCCCATAAACTGTGCCCGGAAAGGGGTGGGGTTCTAACAAATCTCATTTGAGCATGAACTCACGGATGGTTTTCGTTCGGCTTCCGTTTCAAAAGCTTTTCAAGAGAACTAATTATAGTCTTCCAAACCCGTATGTCCTTCATGCCTCTTGTGGGTTTTGCAAAGACGCCCCTTTCCCCGGTGTTTCCCACGAGTCAGACCAAGCCATTCCAAGGCGCCCAATCTGAGGATCACCGGCTTCTGCTTGTGCCCCGTGCGTCGCAGCGTGTCCAGGGCCGCGCGGGCCAGAATGCCCCCCAGGCGCACCGGCTTGTCGATGCTCTCCACGATGCTGCGCAAGAAGACCTGAAATCAGCCGTCGAAAAGGGGGTCTGGATTTCTGGTTTGGAGTGCCGGGGGCGGGACTTCTAAAGTCCCAGCGGCAAACCATTAGCATTGATTTTGAACCACCCGGTTTTCTGGCAAGATGGTGGGTAGAAAATTGTATCGGCTGCGGCCGGCTTCGTTGCATGGTCACGCCGGGCCTTCCATCCTGATATGCGCCAATGAGTCTTCCCCGCCAAAACGGAGAACTGAGAATCAAATCACAATGGAACGATTTCAGACTTCAGGGGAGCAGCCTGTCGTGTCCCTCCCTTCCGACTCCCGCCCCCGCGGCACCACGTCGTAGGAGGCTGTGGTAGACTCCTGGGCCGGTACAGCGATGCCTGGGAGGCACTGAGTTGCTCAAGAAAATAGCTTTAGCTCCCCCTAAACGGTGAACCATTTAGATTCTGACCAACATTTAGCAAACCAAAATATTACAGAACGAGGTTAAACGAGGTCCGCGCTGGGTGAAAGAAATACACTTCGCAAAGAGGAAAGGCCGGCAAATAACCAGCGATCGCCTCAATACATGGCCGGCCTAAGCCAACAAAAATCCACCTGCTTTTCAAGGACTTGGCAGCCGCTATTTGCGAACAACAAACAGGCGGTCTTCCCTCAAACATTGCACGTCAGCATTTAGATCTCCAATGCCCTAAGTGGGGAGCCATGAATTGTTGCCCGACCCTCAACCATCCAACCAACCCAAACGAACAAACAAACCAAATTCACCAACCCCCAGACACAACCCCGGCCCCTGTCTACAAGCTCACCGCTTCCTGACATCCGGATCCGGGTTGCCTTTTGAAGAAAAGGTCCCTTCGGATGCCCTGGAGGTCAACTCCGTGCTATCCTCCAGCCATTGCAAAACTGGGCATCCTTAGTCCTTGCTGCTGATGTTTCAAGATAACCCCAAACTGGCGATCCTCCAAACAAAACAAACACAAACCAGGTCAGAACAAAATCCACTGCTTGAGGTTTAGCCCTGGACGAAAAGGTAGGACGATCTTCGCTACCCAAGGGATTGAACAAAGGCCAACAAACAACTGGGCCCATTCAAGTAGTATCTTCTTCACATTACCCTCGCAATGGTGGTTTGAAGGCAACCACCAGAAAATGTGGGTATGGGTCAAACTGAAACCCAGGGACCACAGGCTTTAGTCCATGTTTCCATTTACCAGGGCAACCCATTTTGCCCCATTTTTGACCCACAGCCATTTGTCAACCCTCCCCGTCCGCTTTGCGGGAACCAACCCCCCCCCCCCAGCCGAATCCGAGTTGCGGAGGAGAGTGCCAGCAGCAGCTGTGGCGCTTCAGGGCCGAGGTGGTTCAGGAAGTTCAGACGTTGGGCGTCCCAGCCCACGTCCGGCCTCGGAAACAACCAAGCCTTGGGGCGTGTCTCCCTTTGAGGGGAACCGTGAAACCCCATTTAACAGAAAATCATTAGGAAAACCACAACTTTTGTTGGGGGAGGAGATCACAAAAAAAAAGTGCACCCATTTGCACCCCAGTTCTTTCCCTGAAGCCGCGGACTGAGGAAGGCGCCCCCACAGCCAAACCACAAATTCGGGTAAGGTGATTTCAAGGTTGCGAGAAACCAAAGGTCTGGAAGGGGATGAAGACAGCCGAAGGCTTGTGTCTTTCTTTCTTTGGGCGACACACACCCTGGCAGAAGCAACCAGGGAACACCTGCCAAGGCAGCTTGAATATCGGTGTCCTTTTTGGGAGTTGGTACACTTTGTTTGGCGGTTTCAATGCAAAACGGAAAACCACTGTTTTGGGGGTCCCCAGGCCAACAAGTTCTTAACGCTGGGGGGAGCAGCCCACGCGTGCCAGTTTGCCAGTCTCACGCACTTGCCCTCAAAGGGGCTTGAAAGAACGAGGAGGTTGCCTTTGACTAAACAAGTCATAAGCGTCTGGCAATCCAGCCCCAATCGGACCCAATCATCTGGGAACTCCCCCACTCGCGAGGGTTTTTGAAATGGAAATCGCGAAGTGGTAAGAATGGCTGACCCCGCAACATGAATTTGTTCACAAGTATCTACGGTGATGTCCCATGGTTTTGCGGGCGGATGTGGTTGGTTTGCTGGCCTTTTGTCGGGCATCCACCGCATATATGCATTTTTTTTCTGGTGCCTGTGGGCTGCTTGAGCGGAACCTCCCTGCCTCATCGCCGATACGCAGGGCAGGAGGTGGCGCTTGCCTCACGATGCAAACAGCTCGGCTTTGGTGGAAGTCAGTCTCTAGTTGGGTGAAAGTTCCAGAATCCCAGAGTGGCTTCTTCGTGGCTAAGGGGATATCTACACCAAAATGGTGGAAATTGCATGCCTCCTCTAAAAAATGAAACCTGAGTTCAGCCAGGGTACCATGGATCTGGTGGAAAGGCGCTGGAAAGCTTTAGAAGCCATTCACATCGTAGAATCCCAACATCTGTTGGGTGACGATAGATGTTGCGTACTAGACATAATGTTTCATTAGCATCTGCTCGCGGGGGCGGTACCGAGATCAATCTGGAACTGAACAAGGCCCAGGACATGCTTACAGGACATGCTTATATGACACACTGCTTTGAGCTGATTCGAAACAGAATGAGATGGATATGGAAACGCCCAACTGAATTTCTCCCCACAGGATGTTCAGGTGACTTTGCATTTGCGGACTAACACCCCTTTGCCAAGAACAAACTGACAGCTGGAAAACTTGGATGAAGGGAAACCAGCTGACTGGGTGGCAATCCAAGTGCTCTAGCAATCAAACCATCTCCTGTGGGTTGTTCCCAAAAAGGCAAGAGTTTTCAGGAACGGATTTTGGAAGTATGTCGGATACATACCGATGTATAAGGGCTATTTACTGTGGTATGCGCGTATAGTTGTGGCATATAGCATCCATACCTCCCAAAGCCCATACCTGAAAATGTCCTTGAAAACTGGCAAAGTGAGAGTGAAGTCTATTTGATCATACTGTGGACAGGAACTCTTGCGAAACCAAATCCGATTAAAGGATCCCCATGGCTTGTTTAGCACAAGGGGGCCTCATTGATATCGCAGAAGCTCAAGCATGCCTTGTTTAAGCCACTTTGGTTATAACCATTGTTGCAAGGAGACTCACCCCACTAAACTCAGTTCATCTCAACTAAAGTAGTTGAACATCCCAGTTTCATTTGGCCAGAGTCTGCGTTTTACCAACTGGCCCTTTGGAGGGCATGACAATTCGGTGTCATGTCCACCACTGGTAAGGTGGTCCCGTACTGCCAAAGCTGCGAGGTCCCCTATTCAATCAAAAAAGAAGAAAAGAAGCAGCTGCTCCCGGCATCCGACGTTCTCGCCGGGGCGCTCTGCGCTGTGCGAAGCTTGGCCGCCTGGTAGGCCGATGCCTCATCGCCCATGAGGCGGCGGCAGGATTCGACCATCACCAAAATGCGGACATTCGGCAGCCAGGCAACCTCGAGCGTCTCTCAAGTCTCGAGCGGCCAGGAGTCGATTGTTCACACTGCAACTCTGAGTTTTCCGCCTCATGCTGAGATAAACAGAAATTAGTACGAAAGCGGTCTACCCAAATCTATGCAAGGGAGTTAAAGGGCGGCCGCAACTATTTCTGGCTGGGACTGCCCCTTGCGAACGTTCACTTACCCGGGCTTTGATTGTGCAAATAGGCACCTCACAGACGAAAGGGGCCCAGGAAGGTGGGGCCTCTGTCTAACAACAAGGATTTCCTGCAATTTGCGAGGTGGAGAATGTGAGGCCCTGGTGGTGGAAAGCGAGCTCTCACGTTCCCATGCTCCACGCCTCATAGGTTTGGGCTTGAATATGAGCGAAGACAGTCATTCGGAAAGGGCTGGTAGCCACCATCGAACAGCACAGGCTTAAGCGGGCGTGCGCAGAGCCACAGCATCCAAAGAACGGTCCCACGCGGAAACACGAACATCCATCAACGCACTCTTGCACACAGAAGGCACCCGAACACTCACACACCCAGTTGCCCAGGGCAGCATTGGGTGAAAAATCAAAGGGCATTTGTTTGGCAACCCAATCTCAGAAAAGCCACGGCTTTCCCTCCAGTTTAACTCCTGGAGGGGGAGGCACCTTATGTACCTCGGAGCTCCCCTCTAATGGGTGGTTTGGATGAACCGGGGGGTCCAATTCCCCCCAAAACCAGCAAGCCAAACCACCAACTAGGAGCAACCTGAGTAAAGATCGTCCGGTCAAACAGCAAGCCCCGGTCTCAGCAAGCGGCCGGCTCCTGCCAGGGCCTCCGGAAAAGGCGCCCCCCGAGGAGCTCCAGGAGAGGAAAAAGCAGATCCTCGAAGAAGCAGAAGATCTCCTCCCGGGCCACAACTTTGGATTCCGAACACGTGCTGGGGAGCTCGGAACCCATACCCGGGGTGCACCAATTAGATGTTTTTGGATTGCGCCTCATATGTAGGCTACCCTTCAACATTTAGAAAAATGAAGGGGAACCCCAAACCGGGACGTCTGGCCTCCAGTTTAACTTTTGGTCTCTGCGCCCAGGAAACCACGGATGGGCTGATAAATTTCACGAATGGGTCCCCCAAATAGCGGGCCTTGAAACCGAGGCCGTCCTCCCGGGCTGAGGGTCGTCCACAGTCTACCGGAAAGAAGGCGCCCGCGGCCCCATGCCCCGCAAAGCTGCAAAGCAGCACTGGGGCTTCCGCTTCCCTGGCGGGGTCGGGGTGGTGCCCGGGTGTTTTTTAAGGTGTGTGTTCTGTTCTTGTGTTTATTTTAGGGTGGGGTCCGTTCAGGGTTGGTTCGGGGTGGCTTAGGATAGGTGAAGGCTTGGTGTGGGTTTAGGATAGGTCTGGGACTGGTTCAGCCTTGGTTTAGGGCCGCTAGTCTAAAGGGACCTTTTTCCGCGCCTCACGCCCTCCACGGCTGCGGCGACGCTTTGCAGCCACTCCTCGGTAGCAGCCTGGCCCGGGTGTTGAGATGTGCTCGGCTTAGCCACTTGGCGCTAGACTCCGGAACAAGCGACTGAGAAACCAATGAAACCAACGAGCGGGCACTGGGGCTAGTCGAGTCCCTGGCCAATGGCGAGTTTGGACTCGTAAAGGACACCCCGAACAAAGGAGGTGTCTAGATTAACATCTCCCGAGGTCAATTGTTTAGCGTTGCTGGGGAGCTCTTTAGATTGGATTTGAGTCTCCATTTGATTTAGCATTGCAGGAGCTTCTTTTGAGTTTCGGATTGCGCTTCCATTTCATGTAGTATTGCTGGAGCTGCCTTTTAGGGTTGCCGGAGGGGTGCTTGCCCAGGTAGGAACCAACCCGCTTGCCCAAGCCCGGAGTGAGCAAACAAACACACCAACAAGAAAACCAGCTGCTCCGCAAGCCATCAACATCCATCAACCAACATCACACCAAACGAGGCGTACATGTCAATCCCCTCGACTGGCAACTACATTCGACAACGAGAGCATTGCACAATGGAACATACTCAATTTCAACCACCTGGCCTGCCGTCTGCCGTGCGGACCAGGCCCTACATCCAAATGCGGAGCTGCCCATCATTCCCTGCCTTCATACCCTTCAGCGTCTCGTTGTATGCAGCAACCACCTCCACAGAGCAACGTGCTTCACGGTTCAGCAGACAGCTGGACCTAGCTGTCTACCGGGATCGTTCCAAATCGGCAACGTTGGAGCTCCAAAAGCGGGAATTTGCGGGACGCGGAGGAATGCAAAACAGGCCACAAGGAGTCGGAACTGAGTTGTCTCATACCGAATGGCGCAAAGCCGAGGTGGGCCGAAGTGACACCACGGGCAACGATTGCAGGTCTGAGTCTTTGCCAAACGAAGGCGCAGGGAAAGTTCCACGCCCTGCAACCTGCTGCGTCCTACGAGTCTCTCTTGAAACCAGTCCAAAAAGGGTGTCCCTCAAACAAGGCCATGCACTGACAAGTCAAACTTGGAATAAATAGTTGGCAGGCTTTCCCCTTCCGTCCATTGGCTCATGCATCCCCTCCTTTAGCTGAAAGTTGTGAGTTGGTACACGATTCGGTTGGCAACTGCTTCATGGATGTGTCACTTGCCCCCAAAGGAATGACAGAAATAAAAGGATCAAACTTTTGGGGACCTTTGCCAGAAGGGTTCACCAAAACGTGGGGTTTACCGACCCCAAAGGTCGTTTACCAAAAGTGGGGTTTACCAAAAAAACATTTTAAAGGTTGGTTTTGGGCATAAGTGGAAACCCAATCTTGACGGAAAATCGAGGGCCTGGAACTCCATAAGCCCCAACTTTTCCACCAGCTCCGAAGCTGCGGCCACTGGCCGCGACAGCGGCGCACGCTGCCTCGTCCCAAACAGAAGGAGCTTGCGAGGGGCCCCCTGAAGGCAACCAGAAATGGGTGAAAGGGGCCACCGACTGCATTCATCTTGCCTTTCTGGATGTTCTTGGACCTGGCAAGCTTGGTTGAAGGTTTGCCAACCCTTTTGGCCTGGGCTCGCATAGGCTCGCAGCGCAAAGAAAAGGGAACTCAAGCGGACACTCTGCTCCCTACAGCTCATGGGACTCCACACCCAAAGGTCCAAGAACTGTCCGGACTCCATGTGGGGATCCGGCTTCTGCTCCAAGAACTCGCGGGATCCGGATTGGATTTCCCGGCCCAAAGGCCCAGAGCGAAATTCAACTCTTCAGCCGAGGAGCGTGTAGGCGCCATTGGCCAGCACCAGCGCAAGCCGTGGCATGCCATCGAGAACCGCCAGTTTTCTCTGAAAAGATTTACTCAGGCATGTGCTTACTGAGGCTGGTGCCTTGTGCGTCGGCACGCCCCCATCCCTTGCCCATCTTCTTGCTGGCCAAACTGTCAGCTAACAAAACTGGGATCGTGAGTCCATTCCTGGGAAACCTGATCCCCTTGCACGTAACGCCCTCATCCGAAACTTGAGCCACGCAGGATGCTGACCGTACCTTGCTAGGCACTGCGATTTCCGTTGCAATCAAGCTGGCCAAGCCGACATCATTTGTCAATGGCCTGCGGTCCGGTAGCAGAAATGCTGACGGCAGTGCAACTGGCTCGGTTCTGGCCATGCCTGAGGATCCACATCCAAGGCAGACGTTCCAAGAATGTGCTGCCGCATTTCGAGGGGGTCCTACTCGTCAGAAGCTGCCTAAAACAGTATATAGGCTTAAACATGGAACACCAAAAATATACAGGGTGGCAGGCCACAGTTCAAGGCGCCTCTTTCGCGCTAGCGGTAAACTGTTTCCCAAACATGCACTCACTGGCGCTTGGCATGGCCTTGTGCGCGAGGCGACGGCCAATGCTTTCCGAAAGTATTCCGACTGCTTGTTCCAGATGACAAAAAAACGCATGGAACCCGCATAAATGCAAGTACACCAGCCACAAACTCTGCTCAATTGCCAGGTCTTCCTGGTCCTTCTCCACCCAGGTTTTCTGCTGCTTGAGCTGCTGCTTCATGCCGCAGCTTGCCCACCCCCACAGTGTCTGCAGGGGGCCTGTGGCCACAGGCAAAGCCACCTGTGGCAATGCTGCAATGCCAAGCGAACCTTCGACCCCTACAAAATCCGCTCGAGCGCTTTGGCCTCGCCCGCGCCGGGGACGGGCGTCAAAGGCCGCCAAAAAGGGTGTGCAAAAGAGAGACTCACAATTAATTGGGACAATTGTGCACTCCACTGATGCTTCTGACTCGGCATATCAGGATTTCCAAGGCTTGGCGGGCCAAGCGCCTGCATCATTTGACGGTTTTCCTCTCTGGCGCTGACAGCCTTAAGCCAGCGCCAAGTGCCGCCAAGCGATGCTCATGCTGAAGGCTTACTGACACAACACGGTTTGGTTTGTGCTTTCCGTCTCGCAGCGTGCGCACGCCCGATTTTTGCCTTTCCGATTGCAGATGCGTTTCAGATGTGACACAGCCTAAAACATAGTGGCCATACGACGTGTTTGGACCACCGAGGTGAGGGCTGCAAAAAATGATAAATCATCGAACCCCTCTCCTATGAATGAGGCAGAGCAGCTGAACGATAGTGCGAAAAGATGCTCTCTGCCTGCCTTGCACATTAAAAAGCACCAAGCCCATGCCTGACTTTTACCCAGGCGGCTCAGCTGGAAAAGCAACTGCCATCAATCTGCTTTGCAGGAAAATGGCGTTGCATGGCATTGCCAACCGCAAAAGTTAAGCTGGCACAACATGTACGCCGCCGAATGCGCGTGACCAGACTGACACAGGATGCTCGGCATCTGCTCCTTCCTCTTCTGGGATCTGACCTCTGGTTTCGTGCTTTCCGTCTGGCAGTGTGGGCACGCCCGATTCCAATATGACGCAGCCTAAAACATAGTGGCCATAAGCGTGTTTGGACCACCGAGGTGAGGGCTGCTGTAATAAATAATGAATAATCGAACACCTCTCCTATGAATAAGGCAGAGCAGCTGAACGATAGTGCGACAAGATGCTCTCTGCCTGCCTTGCACATTAAAAAGCACCAAGCCCATGCCTGACTTTTACCCAGGCGGCTCAGCTGGAAAAGCAACTGCCATCAATCTGCTTTGCAGGAAAAATGGCGTTGCATGGCATTGCCAACCGCAAAAGTTAAGCTGGCACAACATGTACCCCGCCGAATGCGCGTGACCAGACTGACTCAGGATGCTCGGCATCTGTTCCTTCCTTTTCTGGGATCTGCCAGAGGTCAGTCGCTTCAAGGCTTACTGACACAAAGCGTTTCGTGCTTTCCGTCTGGCAGTGTGGGCACGCCCGATTCCAATATGACGCAGCCTAAAACATAGTGGCCATAAGCGTGTTGGACCACCGAGGTGAGGGCTGCTGCAATAAATGATGAATAATCGAACACCTCTCCTATGAATAAGGCAGAGCAGCTGAACGATAGTACGACAAAATGCACTCTGCCTGCCTTGCACATTAAAAAGCACCAAGCCCATGCCTGACTTTTACCCAGGCGGCTCAGCTGGAAAAACAACGGCCATCAATCTGCTTTGCAGGAAAAAATGGCGTTGCATGGCATTGCCAACCGCAAAAGTTAAGCTGGCACAACATGTACCCCGCCGAATGCGCGTGACCAGACTGACTCAGGTTGCTCGGCATCTGTTCCTTCCTCTTCTGGCATCTGCCAGAGGTCAGTGGCGTCGACCGTCTGGTTCAGCGCCTGCACGTAGTCCGTTGCATAGCAGCGCGCTTGCCTCTGCAAGTTGTCCATATTGCTAAGAATATGGCAAAACTCCGTGGCATGGATCATGGCGATCTTGCCGATGCCGGCGGAGAGCAAATCACCGACGTGCCACCAGTCAGTCCACAAGCACATCTCAGACACCCATCTTTCATGATTCACAGCCTCCGGAGAATTCTCGCACATGTAGACAAGCGACCCTTGCATGGCAAAGTATGCGGTGTCTGCCTTCGCACCGGAACAGAAGATGGCATCATTCTCCGCCGCGGCTACTATCGAAACGCCTGTCCTGGCCAGTGTTTGCATGACCTGCTCCTCCCTCGCGCTCAGGAAATTGGGCAGCACACCTCCAAGGAACGGCAGCTTGGCGAGGTAAGGGCTATATTTTGCAAACAGCAACTCCGACTGCAGCGATGTCGATAGGTATCCCAAAATAGATGGATCACGGCAGTTTGACTCTCTGTGGTGATACGTGTATTGCAGAAACCGGGTGATGCGCTGGCCTAAGGGTGCCGGGATCTTGTTCATCCGCAAATACCGCCTGAGAAGTCCGAACTGCTGGATCTCTTCCATCCTGCCACTGTGCAATGTGCTCACCAGGGAAGTCATAGAGCTCACGATTGTTGAGAAGGTCACCAAGGAGATTAACCCCACCACAACAGAGTAGACACCCTCAGTTTCATTTGTCGCCTCAACGTTGGTGCCCCCGATGCCGAGTGAACTGAAAGACCAACGCAAGCTTGTAGTGTATTGCTCGACAAAAGAAGCATCCTTGACGTCTGACTGGTCCAGCCATGTTGCCCCTGAGTTAAAGATGGCAATGCCAACCCAGCCGCAGGCAATGACATGCTCCGTCAGCACCATGCCCATCATCACAAGAAAAAGGCTAAACTGAATTGAAGCCACCTGTGATTCGAACTGATCCCGCAAGAATGCAGCAAACCGCGTCAGCTTCCCCAGCCGAACAACCCGGAAAAGGCGTAAAAGGCGCAACGCCTTGGTTGTGGCACGGTCTGCTTTGCTCCCCGCAACGGAGAACTCCAGGACCACGTCAATCATGGTGACTGCGAAGTCAGGGACAAACCAAGTCTTCAAGTAGTGGCAGGCGATCCGGCGGCTATCTTGCACCAAGGTCCCTCCCTCGGGGAAGCCCGTGAAGAAAGAGAGTATGATGTCAGAACCCCAATAGAAGAGAGCCATCCTCGAGCTGAAGGACAACCAGGGCAGTAAAGCTTCGAGGTCCTCCTTCACAATCTGCAGTGGGAGTAAGATGGTGTCAAGGAGCAAGAGGACCTTGCCCAAAGGACCCAGGACTAAGGTTGCCTTTGGGGCCATGACGAAACAAAGGTAACCACAAGGAAAAAGCGAAAGGTCAAAAGGTCGACTCTGCACAACTCAGGGGCAATGCCCAAGAAGTCCCAAAAATTCCGGAAGTGTCCAGTAGGGCTCAAAGTGCAGAACGAAGGCAATTTTAACGTATAGGACTCTGTCGTCTTGAGTGCTGCGCGCGTTGGGTTGCCCTTGGCCCTGGCTTTGGACTGTGTCCTCCAGCAGCTATGGGCTTCAAACATGGTCACCTGCTCGCACAAAGAACCAGAAACTACATCTAAGCAT